ATATTTAGGTCCAAGATCAATCACAGATTTTCTATCTTCTTATATTCTAGGATGTCGAGTGTAACGAGAAGACATCTCTGGTGACCTACACGTACAGGTCGGGTATTGGAGACGGACAGAAGGGCAATCTGAGAAAAAACCTCACCGTCAATTGGGACTTCGTGCCAAAGGATCGTTCTAACAAACACAAACAGAAAAATACAGGTGAATTAAAGCTGCCCTGCCTCTTGCCAAGCTTGACACGAGAAAGTGCTTTGAATTTCACTGTATATAGCACGTTTAGGGTTTTTTATCTTTATTCGCTATATCAAGGTGCAAGTATATTGTTTTAACAATCTTACAATTAGGGTAAAGTTTTCATTTTAATCTAATTAACCTTTTACGAGCAAGTATTTTAACTGAAAAATTACAACTCTTCTAAACCATTCTTCGTTATCAATCTTTTGCAAAAGTGACCTTACTTCAATGTTGTTGTCATATAGCGCCGCTAATAGAAGGTACTGGAAGGTTACACAGATACACCATTGTTTTGCTCGGTGGCACTGCCTGCTCAAACTGACCTTGAAATTATATCTAATAAGGAATTGTTAAGTTAAACGAACCACACAAGTAATTTCGAGCTGATGTGTAATTAATAAATTTTAGTTTTAGTAATAACTGTCCAATGTTTTTCATAGTCCCAAATTCAAAGTAATCTTACAGATAAGCGTTTCTGAACAATGTTTTTTGCAGTGAGTATTATTTACGAAGCAGGGGATAAAACAAATTGGTGATCCTGTGTAGCCGTTTCCCTGTTTTCACAACCGAAACGCCAGATATCCCTTTCTTTTNGCCTTTATCCTTAGGGATAAAAATAATATTATATATACATATAATATTCAATAAGACTAATCATCCTAAAAATATGATGACTTATAGAGAATTTTTTTTAGCTACAGTGGGTCAAGTTTAACGAGTTACACCAAGAAGTAAGATGAAAATTTTGCATAATATAGTGGCTGAGAAGATTGCGAAGACGTACCGTTTTCTCAGATTTCTTTCCGCTGCTACTGGCATTTGCCGGAATCGTTGGTCGAGAACTCGCGAAAAGGGGATGAACTGGTCGAAAGGTCGACGGATGGGAGTAGCAGGAATAAAAGGCAAGCTGTATACGATTTTTTGAACGAGACGACTATAGTAGAGCCCAAGAGCGCCAGTAACCAAAATAAAAAATTCATCGAGCACGTTGGCAGAGTAAAAACACAGTATGAACATCTACGAAATCTCAAGGAAACTTTTACAAGAAATCATGCAGCCTATAATTTGTCTTAAATAGCGACTGATAAGGACCGTAGAGACCCTTGAACTCTAAAGTGATATCTGTTTCTTATACTCACTCAATGGAAAGACGTAAAACGTAATTTTGTGAGCCACTTACTTTTTATAGATGGAACAAACATTATATATATATATATATATATATATATATATATATATATATATATATATATATATATATTAATTACTAAAAGACAATTTAGACCTTTCAGAGAGGATAGTAAAGCTCATTTTGAACGAATTCTCTGCTGTATTAGAAAACCTATAGGTGTGTTGAAAAAGGCTTCATTAAAGAGGTGGTAGGTTAGATGTTTCTGGGATCTGTATTTCTTTACATGCAAATGATTAAGACGTTTAATACGCGGATGGTGCTTGTGTAATAGGTTATCACTTTTGATGTCTGAGTTACTTTTAAACACCTCAATAAATTCTACGTAAAAAAGCGAAAAAACATCTTATCAATATTTATTAAACTCGTGTCCCGTATCTTTTCTATGGCTGTGGAACATACGTTACATTACGGTATGCGTAGGATGCGAGGCGTAGTTGGTATTGTAACTAATACACCCAAAATTTAAAACTGTCAATGAGTTTTAAATTCACGACGAATATGACCAGTGGTAGATAACTTTTAGGTAACAAAGTTTTCAATTCTCTATACAATTGACAATTACTGCTACTGAAAGAGTCATCAACGTGGACATTGTAAAGAAAAATGATCTTTAGTTTGATAGGAATTTTCCTAGATCTGGTCAATTTAAATGTATTTTCCTATCACTTTTCCATTATTAATGACTCATAGGGTTCTGATAGTGTTTAGCTTGCACAGATTTCCACAGCGCTCAACTAATGATCGTGTTTGTATCAGGCGATTCAGTGGTAACGTATGATCTTTCTTACGCTTTTTTTACTTCAAACGGTTATCAATTTATTTGCTTACAAAACAGAAACGCGTGGGCGTAAAATTGGGACATTTGTGGATTTTTGTTCTATACACATGTAAGTTTTAAAAAATTGGATAATACATCGAATTCATTCAATTTCATTTTTTGAGACTTGAACTTGTGAAATGCACCTCTATATTGGGTTTGGGTGAGATAAGTATATGATAAATAGATCGGCGTGAGTCCCCGTGGAGTTAGGCCACATGTAGAACAGCGGACTAACTAGACAAATACGGCGACCCACTTAAAAGCTTGCCATCTAATCCCCTAATAGACACTGAACAGATTCCTCGCTGGGATTCAAGTGGGTCGGCCATATTTGATCCACGAACAAGTAAGTCCTCTGTTGTGAATGCGGCCTTAGTGCGCATTAGCTACATCAACATAGCTTCTTCGGAACAGTCCCACGGTGAGTGCGTGAGTCCTCTATTCCAGCAAATTCTACGCTTAAAAATATGTCGTTACGCCTTAAGGACATGGCACCTGCCTGTTTATTGTATTGACCCCAATTGTATAGACATATCACACCACCAAGGAGTTTCAGTTGCTCGTGTCTGTGTGGGACTTGATCACATTCCACATCAAAGGCTCGGATAGCGTTTATGGGAGCTTCCGAACCAACCTGTATGAGCCACGAGCATATCTGCAGCTATTTGGCTAGAAGACGTCATCCTCCGGCTACGAGGAAATACATCGGGTCGGGACAACGCGTATCTCTGTACAACACCATGTTCAATAAATATAACAAGACACGGTACGTTTAAAATTGCAAAATGTTAGTACTATTCATATCGTGTGTCTCCTTTTGACTTTTATGAATAACCGAACCATACAGTGTGAGAGTACAAATGTTGGGTGCATTGTCAAATATGCATTTGCAGTCAATTTTTTGGTCACAAAAGTTTACCAAATGCCATCATTTAGTTATAAATAGTATAACTTAGAGAAATAACAAAAGATATTTTTTCATATAACCCGAGAAATGACATTTGAACGAATTTTTATGTTTGCTTGCTGTGCTGTACTAGCATATGTGAATGGGGCAGATAAAAAGTCAGATCAGTAGTTCAAATTTAGTACCAAATATTTGAAAAAGATGCAGCTTTTAGCTCTTTAATGGCTAATCAAGTGATTTATTCGGCTTATCCCATGACATGTCGCTTTTATATGAGTCGTATAAGAAACTAGTAAAACTGGTTATATGCGTTACTGGGAATCCAAGCTCCATCGACACTCGAATAAATCACTGGCTTTGTAATCTCTGTAATTGGTGCGATTTTAAAGCACGTTACTTTAAACTAAGATCAAATAAGCTTTAAACTGGGAGGATATCACATGTTTGTTGTGGAGAGCATGATTACTGCAAGCGGATGAGGAGAAACCTGTTGAGCTCTTTACATACCTTCGAAGAGGTGCAGTAAGTTTCTGTTTAGCTGCTTCCCGAAAATATCAGCTAGTTAGTTGTACTCTCTCTTTCTCTGTCTCTCTCTCACACACACACACACACACACACAGAGAGAGAGAGAGAGAGAGAGATGGGGGGGGGGAAGAGAGTGAGGGCTATTGTAATGTATTCTCTTGTAAAGCTTGGATCCAGCATGACTGGTCCAAGTGTAAAGGTACGTGGAGGAGGTTCCTCTCCATTTCCTGCTCTCTCTCGCTCTCTCTCGCTCTCTCTCTCTCTCTTTCATACACACACACACACACACACACTCTCTCTCTCTCTCTCTCTCTCTTTCTGAGTGTGTGTGTTTATAATGTTTATAGTGTGGCAAAAGGCCGCGAAATGATTTAATTTAATAAGTGTACATCTAATGGTAAAATAATAATAATTTTAAAAGTGATACAAAAGTGAAATGATGATTAATGATAAATGTAAAATCAAGTTTGAGATGTACAAATAAACCGGTTAATAACATACTAGTAGTATGTTAAAAAGGTACGTCATTAGAATTAAAATTAAAAGCTAATATGAAGAAAACTACAGAATTAAAAAAACAACTCTCGCCGTCGTTAAAAATTAAGAGTCACCTGTGACTTGACAGTAATATAAACAACCTAAATGTAGGGTAATAAAAGTCGTACTCTCTGCCGACAGGGTGCGCTGGTAGTCTGTTAGAAATGTATTGTTTTATACTTGATTTTTGCATACAGTTTTAGAAGTCCCATATATTAGAGGGTAGTAATTCATGTCCAATTTTGTTACTGCACGTATTGGCAATACTGTTCGGTTTCCCTTTGTCTTTCTCAGTTGCACCGAAAACCGAGTAATTATACATGTATATAACAAATCTAACGTAGCTCTGTAAAAACATGGAAGTATACGTAGAATGCCAGCTATACTTCCATGGTAAAAGTCTACCAAAGTACTATACGTGCAATTAAAACCCTGAAGCTTTCTTATTACGTTATTCCTCTGCCCTGCCCTTTTAGCAATAAGATACATGTATTTTTTTTAGAAAACCAGTCGTAATTGGCACCAGGCATATTTTTCAATATTTGACGTTCTTTTTTACTATAAAAAAATTTACAGGTAACTGAGAAAAACAGCCCAGCAAGGTAAGCACATCTCTGTTTCAGTGATATTTCATGTTGTTGATCCAAAACGTGTGATCTGCTCTTTTGTCACAGCGCAACAGAGCCTCCAGCTAAGGACCAAGACAACTAGGTCAATTGCCCAGGCGGGGATAGGATATTACGTAATGGCGTCGTATCAGCCAAGTTTTTTGAGAGGTCTGCTCACTTTGAGCGCTGAACACCTTTGGGACGGGACACGCGCGGCTTTCCTTTGACCGAAAATTCTAGAACTGACGGATGCAGTTACCATTTGCTTTCTAGTGCATCGACCTCCGCAGATAGGCACTGACGGCTGGTTTGCAGCAAATCACGACACTGAGACTAATTTTTATAACGGGTTCATAACGTGGGATTTTAATCATTTTTTGTTTATCACGCTTACGAGCGAAAAATCTGACACTATTTAGATTTCTTATGAGCCGAGGATGGGTGCCTGTGTATCCTCGCAGAAAGATTACGAATACCCAGTAAGTAAGACCGTCCCAAATATGTAACATTCTACGTGGATTATTTATGCACTTTTATGAACTATGATGAATCAGAGCGTACCAAACCTCCATGTATGTGTAAAATAAACAGTAAATGTATCAGATGATGTATGTCTAAAATGCACACTGCCACCGGTTGCCTTAGTGTGATGCATAAGGTGCAATAATCTTATATTTAGGCCTTGTAAAGTTTATCAGTCACAGATTTTCTATCTTCTTATTTTCTAGGATGTCGAGTGTAACGAGAAGACATCTCTGGTGACCTACACGTACAGGTCGGGCATTGGAGACGGACAGAAAGGCAATCTGAGAAAAAATCTTACTGTCAATTGGGACTTCGTGCCAAAGGATCGTTCTAACAAACACAAACAGAAAAATACAGGTGAATTAAAGCTGCCCTGCCCGTCAAGCTTGACACGAGAAAGTGCTTTGAATTTCACTGTATATAGCACGTTTAGGGTTTTTTTTTTGTCTTTATTCGCTATATCAAGGTGCAAGTATATTGTTTTAACAATCTTACAATTAGGGTGAAGTTTTCATTTTAATCTTATTAACCTTTTACGAGCAAGTATTTTAACTGAAAAATTACAACTCTTCTAAACCATTCTTCGTTATCAATCTTTTGCAAAAATGACCTTACTTCAATGTTGTTGTCATATGGCGTCGCTAATAGAAGGTACTGGAAGGTTACACAGATACACCATTGTTTTGCTCGGTGACACTGCCTGCGCAACCTCATGACCTTGAAATTATATCTAAATAAGGAATTGTTAAGTTAAACGAACCACACAAGTAATTTCGAGCTGATGTGTAATTAATAAATTTTGGTTTTAGTAATAACTGTCCAATGTTTTTCATAGTCCCAAATTCAAAGTAATCTTACAGATAAGCGTTTCTGAACAATGTTTTTTGCAGTGAGTATTATTTACGAAGCAGGGGATAAAACAAATTGGTGATCCTGTGTAGCCGTTTCCCTGTTTTCACAACCGAAACGCCAGATATCCCATTCTATTAGAACTGGAAAGTAAAACGGGTGTAATTACAATTACACGCAAACAGACAACTGAAACAAAAAAAAAAAAAAAAAAAAACGTGAAAGAGTGTGACCTGTTGCAAACGAATGGCGTAATGGCAGTGAAGAAGAGTATCGATACTAGATCTATAACTATTTTGACACAGCTTTCATAAGTCGTTGCCACAAAGCTTGTTCTTTTACAGGTTTCTTTTTTTATGCTAGAACAGAGTGTAGGTTTTTTTTACTCTATCGTCAAGAAAGTATAGAATGGAAACATGGGAAAGGGAGGACGCATTTGTACTTTCTATCTTCCAAGTACTAGCTTAATGTTTTTTTCACATCTTAAAGCTGTTTTATATTACGTTTTGCTCTTATTTTTTGATTGTTAGAATGAGAATTTTTTCTAAGGAAAATTCCACAAAACCTGTGAGGATGACTAGTTTTTATTATCAGTGTAAAATTCATTTTACTAATAATTGACGTTTCTTTTTGCAGCAGTAAAGAGCATGCAGAAACTGAAATTAAAGGAGCTCAAAATTCAAGATGTCGACAGGGAGTTCAGGGTATTTGCTAACATGTACTACTTTATTACTTGTTGTCCAATGCAAAACTATACAGTAGAGCTAGATTTATTTATAATTTAAATATCTCAAAGGAGCACGTTGGAATTCTCAAATCATTTCCACAAAAAAATCGTAAATTATGTATATTGTGACGCCATCACTAGACCAGTCGGAGGAATCATTAACAAAATGTACAATGTTAAATCCCTGTTTGTCTGTGGGCGTTGGACGAACTGTTTTTGACCAAGGTTGTTCGGCTGTGAGCAAGTCTTGTGTAAAACAGTCATTTTGGACTGTACATTGAAAATACTGCCTATCAGCCCTATCTGTATCCTTTAAAGACATTGTCTTTAATACCGCACACACAAAAAATATTTTATGAAATCTGTCAATCCTCTGAAATGAAATAATATTACAAAATTCTAAGTTTCAATAATTGAAATTGCATATTCAGCAAATGCATCCTTTTCGTAACATTTTCATAACAGAGTATCGATTTGTAAAAATTTAAACGTTGGCTTCAGAGTCTAGGTTGTTTTCAAATGGTATTCTTGTCAGTTTGTCTGATTTTTTATTTTTATTTCTGACGTAGGAATCCGCGAAAGTTTATAACGATATAGTTGACAGACGGCAAGCACTGACGAACGCTCTGAACAGCCTCCGACCCTTGATGAAACACACCAACACAGAATTCAGCATCCCAGGAGTGACACGAGAGATACAGCGTCAGTTGGGTAAGTGCAAGACATGGGTAAGTGGGTCGATCTTCCGGACATTTTAAAAGAGTTAAAAAGAATAAAAGACACGACCAGAGAGGGGTGCTTATTTATTTACTGAGGTTTTCAAATACAATCGATTATCTCTCGTTTTTTTCATAGACCGGCTTGGGATCTTTAAAAATGTTTGTTCAGTTGCTATTATGAAGTTGAACACATTCCTTAGTGTAAAGCTGTTGTTGAAGAGTCTGAGTTGTTGAAAACGAACGGCGTAGTTCGCAGTCTAGAAGAGCATCGCCAACAGGACAATTTTGACAATGCTAACATTTGGCGTTACCCCAAAGCCTGATCTTTTACAGTTTTTTTTGCATGCTAGAACACGAAATACGCAAAATATTATGTGAAAAACACACCAAAACAGATCATGTTCATGTCCATCGTTATAATTATGCTTTATAAATTTAATGTCATTTCAGTTGATGTTAAGCTAAAAGTCGACATAGACAGCGGAGTGATAACTCCGACGTACGGCGGGGTGTCCGTTGGCATGAAACAGATCCTGTTCACCGTCCAAAACATTTACTCTCACATCCGGGACCTGCGTGCAGAGATTCCCTTTGCGGTCACCTTTTGCCAGAACGTGATCTTAGACGAGGGTCGCCTACGCGAAGTCGTGATACACGCCAACGCCGGCCCTCTTAAAGTACCACGTGCACTTCAAACTCTTGGCGCCAATATGAAGGAGTTCCTGAAGGCGCTTTCGGCGTTGTCTCAGCTTCAGGTGACCTTGGAAAACATGTTTGACGACATCAGAGAAGGACTGCTGATTCTTGGAGGCGGCGGTTCCAGCGGGAACAGAAGGGAGATTTTCATGGAGTCAACGGAGTCGGGGGTAATGGACATGGAATGAGCTCTGAGTGGAGTGTAAAGAAAATGTTTTGAATTGTGCCAGTTGACAATCATCAATCAACAGTAAATCACATTACTTATATTGTGTGGTTGGTAATATTGTTTTCAGATTTCCAGATGTTATATATTTGAAAGTTGAGAAGTATTTACCTCATTGAGCAAATTGAAAACGAGCTCAAAAATTGATATTTTACGGTTTATAACATTCCCCTCTTGGTGTGTATTCACGATGGCAGAACTGTTTTTTTTTTTTTTTTTTTTTTTTTTTGTTATAGTGCTACAAAATCATCAAATTGCCAAGTGTGTCATGACATTTTGCACCTGGATTTTGGCACAGGTAAGCCATGACATTTTGAGCGTGGCTTTTGACACTTAATTTGTTGACAGGTGGGCCATGGCATTTTGAACTAAGTCTTTGACATTAAACTTGTAAACAGGTAAGCTAAGGTAATGACGATAACGCATATATTGTACTATGCCCGTTAATGTTTGCTTGCATTTCTTCATGTTGCTTTTTGATACAAGTTTTACATCGTTTTTATACACGCATAGACTAAAACACTGTATTTAGACGTTAATGTACTTAGCTGATCAGAGATCAAGTGACGACAATTATTTTTGATTTTGTTGTACAAAATCACTCACGACGGTAAAGAGTTACGAAGTAAGGTGGAAAAGCAGGCATTACAAGATGAAGAGTAGTATAGCTATTAAATGGACCTAAGAAACGTGCGTCAGTAAACAAGGTCTGGCTATGAGATAAGATCGGTAATATCCAATATTAAATCTTCGATGGGAACTGAAAAGGAGCTATGCCCACGTCATAGGACATTTAAATTTATCACGATCAAAATTGTTATCAATTTTAAGAATTTAAGAAGATACTTTCAAAAATTAACAGCAAACGAAAACATAATATTTTGGGGAAACAAAGATATGATGTCGTATACTTATCGGAATAAGCAGTGCCATTTATCCATTACTCTCCTTTAAGCCGGAAAGTAAACTTTTAGAAATTCCATCACTCATTGATGAGTTTTTTCTTAGTGTATTTGTCAGAAAAGAGATGGGAATTTTCAGGTAATTGGCGGCAAAAACGACTACATATTGCCGCATAAATGTTGTAATTGTCTTGCGTTTCACCGGTTGTAGTCTCATTTTCAGCAATAAAGTATTGTTTTTAACCAGCAAATCCCTATCGTTTTCATTTTTGTGTCGATGTTATATTAAAATTTTACTTTGGCCAAGACAGCACAGCCTGTTTCAACACTTAACACATTGACGGTTTTTTTTTTAAATTAAACATTAGACATGTGAATTAAAATACTAATCAAAAATCAACTACACTGAAAAAATACTAATCAAAAATCAAATACATTGAATTCGAACAGAAATTTAGACATTTGGCTACAATATTTCCACAGGAAATCTACTTTGGCCTAACACCAAGGTATAACTAGCAGCACAAAAGCCAGTAGACGACAATTGCGAAAGTTTTGTTTTCTAAAATGTTGAATTTTTTTACATCCTAGCTCGACCCAACTTGAGAAGTAACAAGGATCAAACCTTGATTCAGATTGCACCCTTTGCCAGCCAAAGGGGAGGTTCCCCCCCCCCCACCCCCCTCCTCCCCACCAGGGTCTGATACCTGTGCCAGAAGACTCACGCCCGTGACCAGCAATTGCAATAGGGGGTTCTTTTTCTGAAAAAAAATGAACATTTTACCATGAAACCTTCGTGAACCAAGATAAAATCGTGTACTTTCGTGAACCAAGATAAAATCTTACAGAAAGGGGATCTTTTGCCCCCCCCCCTCCCCTTCCCTTTTGCCCCCCCCCTCCCCGGCTACGGGTCTGAGGCTGTAATAAAATATGTGCTCTCCTGTTCACTGTCAGCAACACAAGGGTTAACATTTGGATCAAAACTCTACGGTATTAAACAAAAATGACTTTCTTCAACCGTCATTGTTCCTACATTTGTCTTCTTCACACTCTCCCAGTCAATCACATTGCCTCGCACGTCGTCACTTCCGCAAGCTGAGGACGCATGCGCGATCGTATCAGAATCGAGGTACGAATCCCAAACATGGAGGTCGGCTATGCTACCGATGAAAGATTGGCTAGCAACGAAATTTCCTCCTGGACTGTCCTGCTCTTGTCCAAGCATCGAAGTCCCACCTGTGAATAAAATGTATCAGTCTTTTTATTGAATCGCATTATCACAGCAAACGAGAAACCAAAGCATATCCGTTCTTCTTTGAAAATCGATGATAATGCCTAACAGCAATAGACGTGATGCTTGTGCTTTTATTTGTAATAAAAAATAAATAGACTGGTATTATGTTGTACATTTTAATATATAAAGGTGTGCCAATGTGTGTTTTTAATATAAGCACGTGTTTTTTTTATATAGGCTACATTAAGGAATTCCTTGGTTACATGTAGCACAAAAATATTTCAAAACCTAAATAATGATCTTAAAATGTAATGAAACGTTATTTGAAAACTTAATTTAAACGCTATGAAAATAAAAAACAACATTTCACGAGCCAACGTTCTAAAATCCGCTGGGCTCTTGTCACTGATTAACTGACTAATTGATCAACTCCAATTTGAAATTATGCAACCTTTATTTATTCTTCTTAACAATGACAGTATGAAGAACGCTCTCTTAACGTTTGCTTACTATCTAACCAATTATATATAGGCTAACCCTATGGTAAAACGTTATCAAAACGTTCTGTGGGAGCTGGGTAACTTCACATTCAGAGAAATCTGCGATCGGTTTAATGTTTTAATAAGACTAATCCTCTCACCTCCTTCGATGTTTCTATTAACAGCAAAGCCACTTCCATTTCGTACCATTTCACCATTGAAGAAATATGCCCAGTGCCCGCTTCCTGCTGTCCACCGGAAGCAATGGTGGCTCCATCTATCGTCCGACAAGTTTGCAAAAACGTCTGTTAGATCAATTTGTGTCGCATCGTTACGAACAATTATTCTTAACTGATGCGACTGGAAATGGTACAGCAATAGTGAGTTGGCAATGGAGGCTGTGGCATATGAAAACCACGAGCAAGATGGCGCACTGAGACAAAATGCTAACTGGAGTCGCAGGCATATTGTAAATTCGGTCATATTGGGTACTTCTGTTCCCACTTCTACCGCTTGGCTGGTGGACTGCGGTGGGATGAACTGTAATCTTGTTCCTATAAATAAGTAAAATTATGATGAGTCAGTGGGCTTGTATTTGAAGGTAGCCTACTCTCCATGCGTTCGAGTATCCCCCACAGTCATATTGATGGCTTTCGAAGCTTCCCAATTCAGGTTTTCAAGACAAAATCCAATTAAAAAGTTCGCCTAAAGCGAACCTATTGCCGTTATCTAAAATTCTTTTCAGCCTCGTCGGGAGAACCATTGCTAGGTCGCAACAGCACAGGACCGGTAAACAAAATACTAGTACCCGGCCATTTGTGTGCAAAGGAGGCAATGCACATGATGGCAGATGTCGTTCTATTTGACTGGCCAGTCATTTAAAACTACAGTATTAAATAAAAAAGGAATAATGACATCAAATCCAAGTGAAGGGACGGGCCAAGCAATAATTCTTGAGTAGAAAAAAGCTACTCTTTACCCCAGGAAGTTTCATTTTGGAGGGTAAATCCCTTAGAGAGCACCTGTAAGCTGACGCTACAGTCCTGAAGGTACCGCTAAATAGTAAAGCGACATCGGGGCGACATTGGCTTACATGTAAATGCTAGCATATATGCATATTAGAATGAAAATTTCAGAAAAGGCGTACGTAAAAACTAAATCGTATAATAATTTTTTTTTATAAGATAAAGCCCATATGTGCCAATGTCTGTTTTACGAAATTAATTTTTAAGAAAGTGGGCAAAATCACCTTTGCTTATTCTTGGTCAGCATTATCAAATTATCAATAACAACTTAACAAGCACTACCAGAGCGGATGAATGTTAATGCTAGGTATCGCTTTGTTGGTGCTAAATGACTTCTTTTGTTTACCAAAGAGCTTCTCTCTCTCTCTCTCTCTCTCTCTCTCTCATACACAAACAGATGCATCCACAGACACACACAGATGCACATACTGTACTTACGTCCTGTCGAGGAACACGGATCGCATGTTTTCTGGAAATAGATGTAACAAACAATTAAATACATTTTAAATTATATACAAATTTTGCCAACTTCAGCATCATGCAAGCGCGTGTTCCAAAACATTTTTTTAAAAATGTTGGGTCCTTCAGCAAAGGAGCTTGGTTCAGCCAGGCGAAATGTTTTATTTCTTGCCTGGAAAAGCCTTTGTATTTGTATGTCCTTAAAATCCAATTCATATTCTTATTTCCCCCTTTTACGTTTTATAAAATGCATTCATTTGCTTTATGTGGTGTTTTTAAGTTTTTCACGATAAATGACCACAAGCTCATTCTAATGACATCAAAGTTGCCCCCCCCTTATACAATGGTGGTAAAGGTATTATAGGAACTCTTCAAAATCTCTCGGCACTACGTGTAATCTTTGTATTTGGATTTTTCTTTTAACACTAAATAAATAAAATGTTTCAAACATGACATAGGGTCTATGCATGTCATATGATGCTAGTCGAGTGCGGGGAGTTATGGATGTTCCACAAAAGATCCAACCCGACCCCTTGTAATAACATGGGCAGTTTTAAGTTTTAAAAACTTTTAAAAGCCCAAATCCTCATTTTTTGGGGGTTTTCCTTAAAGCTTAATCCTTTAAATATGAAACAATAATAAACGCTCTTTCATATTTGAATGGTAAATGACATGCCACGAGCTAGGCTTACAAAAAGAAGGAAATGAAAAGTACCTTCTGCCAGACCTGTAGGTGCTGGTCCGTTGATGGCGTCCGTGAAGAATTAAACGAGCACATGGTTTGGCACGTCTTATTACGGGTATCAAAAGTGGCAAAGTGACACCTGGTATCCCGACTACAACTTGCCAGGCAAGGTATAAGGTCAAACTTCTCTTCTGTCGTCAGGTCATTTAGGTCAAGAACAGACTCATTTTCACCTGCGGAAAAGGCAATTTGGTACGACGAGCCTCCTGTCGTCGACGTTGAGCAGTCCGATGAAGACGGCAATTCCTTGCAGGCGGTCAGGATAGTGAGAAGTTGCACGATATGAAAATGCAGTCGCATGGTTAGATGGAGTAGTTTACGTTGGTGAAACGTGTGGCACTTTTCTAATAAGTCTTTAAAATATAGTTAAGTTCTAATGCAAAAAGTGTCGAAAAAACACTCCAAAGTTCTCAAAAGAGCTCAAACATCTACAAGCGTCCAAAACCACAATTCACTCTGCTCATAATTCTTGGAAAGCTTTTAAAACATAGCAGATTTACAACACCGTCATCCTGTGTGGTGAAATTCCAGAATAAAAGCTTGGTAGTCCAAACTGTTTGTCGTTATCACTTAATCAAGATTTTGCTGCGAATTATTGACTGACTTGAACACCGCGATGACATGGTCAAGAAATGTGTGGATATGCTACATTTTAATTGACGTTGGCTGCATTGTGCAACAACGTAAACAGAGATATTGACATGGATTGTTACACGTCAATCAGTTTTTCTACGATATCAGGGTTTCATTAATGTTCATTATTATATAATTAGCAGGGATTGTGATCTGATATCCGTGAATGGGTGGTATGATAAAACATAAAATTGACTAGTGCATTAAACACCGAACAGGACAGGAGGCGATGACAGTGTTTGACCTTGCAATCGATAGGAAACAAATCAGTGCTGATGACGTTATCAATTAGTCAGGATATTGACATTAAGGTATCGAGTTAAACTATTCATTAAAAACAAATAAAGATTTTTGCTCTCAGGCAGTGTTGTTTTGAAGACCTCAGAAAGTGATATCGACCTCAGTCCAAGCCATAATTGCATGTTATTGATCGCTCACAGCGCCACAGTGGTGAGTAAAAAAAAAAGAGACTTTTCATGACGTCACACACCTTGTCGTTTATCAGGAAAATAAAACCAATGTCAACTTCAGGGTGTGAAGGGGGCATTTATTATAACAATCAATGCATAACGAACATGCTTTTAATTATTTTTCAAAATAGCATATTATAAGATTCTACTGTATCTTTTGGGAAGATCGTGCAGCTGTCTGTAATACGTTGCAATATATAAATAAATAAATAAAGAGCAAAAGGAAAATGCTTGAAAATAAAGAGCAGTCTCAGTGCTTCAATTACACATTAAGGTTTTAAAAATGAATTAGCTTTGGCATTGTGAAATACAGTACCAAATATCACTTTTTCCTACAATCTCTGATGGATGCTTGGACAGAAACCCATATCATCAACCCCGTGTTAAAAATCATTAAAGTACGTGTTTGCTATGCTTTCAAAGGTGTTCTATTCGTCGAATGGAACATAAAAAGCACTAAAAGTCATTCCTTCCTACACGAAGTATTTCCATAGATAAACATCGACTTTAAGGGTGATCGATATCTTTATTCTTCACGGATTTTAACAACCGCCGTTTGTCTGATAGACCTACTGCGACTGGGGGTTTATGGACGAATGCCGGTGTGACAGGAACGGTAGTTCTAGGAATGGCAGTTCGGACTCCCATATGATCAGTACAGGTTGAGGTTTGTTGTGTATCGGGGTTAGTATATGGGACAAATGTCACCTGTACAAAGTAATGGGGAACGGACTTCTGTCCCTAGCGGACTACCATTACTGTTACACCGGAAGACCGACTCCCCATTTCAACTAATGGAACCTACACCGTAATAGACTATAAATTGCTGATACTTGAAGAAAACCGTCAATACCATGAACCCATGCCACCCCGGATAACACATTTGAGGGCCCCTTTTGAATATATGGGGCTTCAGAAAATGTAAACATTATTAGTCTGAATTTGTTTATTGTTTGGCAAAGTGAATATTAATGCAAATAACTTCTGATTCAAGGCCTCAGCTCATACATTAAGAATCATCCGCTAAAATATGACATTATGACAAAAATTGCATGCAAACCTATAACAAATTTATAAATTAACTGAAAACATAAGTCTATGTTATTGTGTTTCAACGCCACCTGTTCAGTAAAAGTTACTGGTTCTGAAAATTGGGACTGAAAACGTGTCCCCCGTTTCCTCCAATCAGATCTGGCGATTAATCAAACGGGCATATTGTGCTGCTTTTGTTTACATTTTTAAAAGTATTCAAGGGACAGCTCATAATACATCATGCTTTCCTCTTGCTCTTTTCACACTGAACAGGAATCTCCATTATTTCTCATTGACTCCATGTGCAGAACTTCAAAATGTGAATAGTTATGATCAAGCAAAACAAAATCATGTTCGTCTTTTGCTCCTTTGGTAGGTTAAGGGACTCCGCAGTTTGGGCTCTTTTGCTTTGTAGTACTCATTGAAGTCTAAGCGGAAGCTCAGGAAGCGAAGACTAACATCTGCATGACCAGCAAGCATTAGCAGGAACTTCTGAACCATGTCCTGAAAAATTGGGATAAAATAAATAAATAAATAAATAAATAAATAAATAAATAAATAAATAAAGTAATAATCATAAAGGTGGAAGCATAGAAAAAAAAAACACTGTCTAGCACAAAGGCAAAGGCAAAAACAAATACGTATACTAAGGATAAACTAAGGAACATATTTACAATATATGAGCAAACAGAGATCTATATTTGGCAGTAAGCCCCTGCCCTGCTAGGACCATCGCTAACTTAGATGCTTATGTTGGCCATTTCTTGATATTCATCACCAATGAGCAGGAGAACAAATTCTTAACCAGGGTGACCTAAAGGTGTCCTACAGGGCTCTATCCATCCATGCCTGGCATCTCTTCCAAGGTTGACGTGAAATGACCTTCCATCTTGCTCTGTTCTTTGCTTCATTTACAATACATTTACAATACATTACATATCCTAAAGGGCTAGAAGAGGACTTAAAAATGAGTTTTCCCCAGCACTCACCTGGTAGGACTGTGCCAGCACCCTGACCTGGGCTCTCATACTGGGGATATTTCTCAGAAACTCTGCTTTTCTCCTTTCTTCTGTCTGTTCATCGCTGTCTGTCAATCCCCACTCTCCCTGTAATTACAGTTACAGTGTCAATACTGGAATGAAATGTTGGCTCCTCCAGCATGAAATTTGTTACCGCCATAAAAAGAAGTTGAGATTTGTAAATGACCTTTAAGACTCAATTCTATTTAAAACTGAATCATTAATGTCATTTACGAACAGGAAGAGTAAATGATATTAGAAACCATGCTAAATATACTAACAAATATGAAATGCTTTCCATTTTCTTCAGTAAAATGCTTATGGCAATTGGACAAAATTCTATTCTCTTTATCATTAAGTGTGAGCCTAGATACATGTAACTGCCTTTTTTTATAGCAATCATCATCAACTTTTCTGCATAACAAATAAACCTGTTTGTCATCTTTAGCAAATTATTGCCCATCAAAATTGCCAGACAAATTTGGCAATCATACCTTACAATTCTGATATTTCTTAAGTGGGTTCATAATCAAAAGGGCATCCCCTTTTTCTCTCTCTTTCCTTTTATCTCTTTTTCTCCCTCCTTCTCTCTACAAACACACGAAAGCATGCACACATGCACGTGCGCACACACACATGCACACACACACACACACACCTTCTCTGATCTGGCATGAGCTCTCTCCTCTGCCCTGTGTCTAGCTGTTAGCTCATCATCAGCTGCCTGGTAAAGTCTGTCCTGAATTTCTTGAAACTGGATGATCAAGTCGAAGATAGTCCGCAGTTGAGTCAGGATGGCCTGAAAAATAATACCAATAATTCTTTACAAGAACTGAAAGTAAAAAGTACTTTAAAAAGCCCAGTTTTTTTTTTTTTTTTTTTTTTTTTTGATTATAATTTTTGTTTTGGGTTTTACAGAAATGTGGAGAAAGGTTTAACTAAAAAATAAATTTTTTGATAAGTTTGATGGTACAAGTCCACTGTCTTTCATAAATAAATAAATAAATAAATAAATAAATAAAATAATATTATAATATCCTCACCCTTGACTGCTCATCCAGCAGACATCTAGTTATGATGTTGTCAAGGAAGACTTGGTGAGCTGCTATGATATGATCTAGATCTTTGGCTTCCTTTACTTTCTGTAATAGCTCATCCCAGGAACACTCCAAAACCTATGGATATAACAGAAACATTGGTACATATTATACCAATACCTCATCCCAGGAGCATTACAATACCTAGGGACATGACAAAAGTTTTTATCCCTACACAGTATCTAATTTTAACTCCACTTTTAAGCTGAATTCATAAGTATTTTTATGTCCAGTTCTTTGCTATAGTTTCAGCTCTCAAAGGAAAACCATTTCCAATATTTGTATCTTTTATATCTGTGTTTGAATAAATTCTTATCGCATCTTATTATACCAACAGCTCATCCTAGGAGCATTCCAATACTATTACCAAATGGTACTTAAAACCTACAATATTAGCTTACCTCAAAGTTGATATAATACTGGACTTGCTGGACAAAGTGGACCATCTCACTGCAGATCACCTGGCACTGATGTAACAATGGTGCTAATTCTGAAAACATGTAAGTTGTTACATTATATGCAATGGTAAAATTTCATAACTCCTACTGCCTGCCTTGGAAACTAACCAGACACACAACTGACCACACATACAATGGATACCGCTAAAGCATAATGGATAATGAAAAGGTGCCATGGACACTGACCACATATATGATGGATACTGACCATACACCATGGATACTGATGAGACACCGTGGATACTGACCATGTACACAGTGGATACTGACCAGGTACATAATGGATACTGACCATGTACACAATGGATACTGACCACGTACATAATGGATACTGACCAGGTACATAATGGATACTGACCATGTACACAATGGATACTGCCCAGGTACATAATGGATACTGTCCATGTACACAGTGGATACTGACCACGTACATAATGGATACTGACCATGTACATAATGGATACTGACCATGTACACAATGGATACTGACCACACACACAGTGGATACTGACCAGGCAGAGATCTGAACATCCTTGCGTTGGACATCTGGCCCTTCCACACCCCAGCCAGGATATACTCCATACGCTTGGCACGCCACAGGAAGTTAAACACCCTCAGGTACATTATCATGCATTCTGGAGTAAACACCTAGGGTAAATAAATAAATAAATAAATAAATAAATAAATAAATTGACCAATGTGAAAGTGGCCATACAATAAGCAAATAATAAACAAACTATAAATAGTAAAGAAATTCAGTATTGATTTTATAAAATTTTTAAAGTTTTTTTTTGTTCCCAATTCTTAACAATTAAAACACTAAACTAAAATACTGTTACAGCAGGCATCATTACTAAATGCCTAAGGAAGTGTTTTAAGGTATTATTTCTTCAGATATCTTACTGTTCTTATTGGCCCATCCACATGATAGTCCAAACTGAAGACATCCCAGCCTGTGTCTCCTGGTGACACCTAGTGATGGAAAAGAACAGTAATATCCTAGACTTGTATTATTTATTTAAATTTAAGTACGATAAGTGAAAATAAAGAATGACAAAAATGTGAAATTTTGTGTTGGGAAAAGTAAACAATAAGTACTAAAATACCTTCTGAGAAAACTCTTTTTCAAATGCCTATTTCTTTCCATTTCCACAAATCCTTAAAATCACTTATACGTTTAATTTTTCCCATTATACTCATTTCTTTACACATCTATATCACTTACCTCCAGCAGTCTGACATCCAGTCTTTTCAATATGTCAGCGTCATCATACTGGGCATTGGTGGCCCTCACAGCCGTCTCCAGTACACCAGTCAGGTTGTGGAGATACAGGGTACCTGCTGGCTTGGCCAGGTCTTCTCTGAAATAATTTATAATGGAACATGGATTTGCATTTGCTTCTGTTTCAATTCTTTTAATAACCATAAGTTATCAGGTTTTGCAAGTCAGTTACAGTATTTTGACTTCCCTTGATACATATTTTATGATGGAATATAGATTTATCTCTTTTGGTCTCCATTTTTCCTTTTCATGATATATTTAAGATTTTGAAGTCAATCAAAGTGTTATGATCTCATTTGATACAAAGCTAAAATTTAACATAAACATACTTGTTTGTATATCTTATGTAAATCTGAGTACAGATAATTATAAAATTTTAGCATTTTGGCAACAAGGATATAATTTCAGTCAAGTCAAGGTGTCACTCACTCCAGTAAATCCATCAGATGCCTGATGAAATCCCCCTGGCCCAAGAGCAGGTATCTTCTCAAGGCCTAGAACATGAGACAATACACGACAAAACATGAATACATGTTCTAAAATTATCTAGAAATGAGACAAAACAAGATCACTTATTTTATAGCTTATAACCGAGTCAGGTTTAACATTGGTATACCAATACTTGTATTTAATTTGGATATAAAAGTTGTCAGAAATTAAGTGCAAAATGTAAACGGTATACATTGACCAAAAATTATCTGTAGGCCATTATGTTTGTGACAATTCAGTCCTGAGCTGTTCAACTACCTTTTTTTTTCCTTTTTCTTTTGGAATTTAGACATACATCTAAATAACTTCCATCAAAATTCAATATAAAGCATTCAATTATCATTTTAAAGTAAATTTTGTTTCAATTTTAACATAAAGACTGTCACCTTAAGGTGGTCCATCAGTTTATATTTAGTGTGCAAAATCTCCAATAGATGGCGACTGGTCTCCTCATACACTGTGTCAATCATGGCCTGAAATTTACCATCCAGATCCTGGGTGAACATACTGGCAGCTGAAACCAGAAAAAAAAGAGACTTCAGCTTAGAAAGAAAGATAATAAAATACATATAAATACAACTGTAATCATTTCTATTGCTTTGACTGCAATGCTTTTTAAACAAGGAAGGGCATCTTTAAATTAGAAACAAAATCTCTGAAATGTGAGAGAAACTCAAAATAACCTCATGCAGGGATATGATTCAATAATAATAATAATAATAATAATAATAATAATAATAATAATAATAACAAAATTTAAAATATATTAAAAACCCACGAAAACCATGCCAGCTGTGACCATAATATAGGCACATGTTATATATACAGACCATTCATACGCAAGCACCTGTTCCCAGCTCTCACCTTCTGTTGTCTCAGCTGCTCTGACCACATCTCTCCTCTTTATCTGAGTCCTGTCCTGACACAGCTGTCTCAGGAAGTTAATAGACTTGCCAGTCAGGAGAATCTAAAATTTGAAGGAGAATACAAGATAAAATTTTCAATTATACACATTATAGAAATAATACAAACACTTATCTGAAAAAAAAAAAACTCTTATGAATATGAATTTTGGCAGTTTTCTTTGGACCTTTTAACTTTAATTTCATTTCCCCTTTTGTTTAAATTCAATATCCGGTTTAAAAATCTGAACTGAACGGCATGCCATATATTTTTTTCTCATTTGAGAAACTGAAAATATGGTTTTATTTTGAATATTTTGCAATATAGGAATCAAAGGTATCTTCTTCATTATCTAACATATATTATACTTTCATCTTGGAGAAAGAAAAAAAAAATACTATAATAATGGTTTTTGTCTTCATTTTTTGCCATGTTTTTTGCCATGTCTTTCTTCAAAAAAATGATCAATTTCTCCTCACCTTCCTGGCCTGGTCCATGTTAAGGAAAGAGGGGATCATGCTCTTCCTCAGACTGTACTTGTCATGCCACAGCCTCTCATCCTTTACTGTGGGGTCTGATGCAACAAAGAACTGAAATTAAAGAGAAATCTACAGGGAACAGAAATGACACTCAGTGGAAAATCCTTCCCTTTCCTGAATCCAGCCCTCTAAAAGTCATACAAAACACTATCTGTTATCTTCTACGATTGCTCAAAGATATACATGGACAATTTTGTTCTATTAGTAAGTATAACAACAGGAGCTATCTTTACAAAAACATTTTATGACTACTTTTATACAGAAAGAAAAGGCCAATATTCTAGACCAACAGTTGCTTCATTCTAGTAAACTAAGTCTAAGATTACTAAAGTTTTATCTCGTGCTAAAGAGCAACATTTTAGTTTGATGTACACTTAAGGTTTATTTAGACATTTTGTACACTGTGATATGCAGTGTGCAGTGATATTTCCTTTTAAAAAGTCTCAAAGTAAAAAAAAAAATTGTTTCATTTTAGCCAGCACTAGAGTGGTCTCCCTACCTCGTGGTATGTGTCCTCCAGCTCTCCATCATGTAGCCAGCGGAGAACTATACCAAATATGGGCTGGGCCACCTGCAGATAATAATAATAATAATAATAAATAATAATAATAATAGTAATAATAATAATAATAATAATAATTTAATTCTGCTTTCCCTAAATAAGAAAGTTTTTCCTCATGTCATTTTCTAGCAGGTAAATGCTGCTATGATACACCGCAAAAAGCAGCAAGTAATTTAATAAGGTGAATATATAGCATGAAGGTGGCTTTAAAAGCAGACTACAACAGGATATAAATTGTATTCACAAAAATCTCATTAAACCAAAGAAATTTCATCTCAAACCTGTCTACAAAATTCCCCAGGTTCTAAAATGTCATACAGCACTGTCCATGGGAAAATATCTTGTTGAAAAAGAGTAAAAAAAAAAAAACTTACCAGAGTTAGTGTATGTTTCACCAGAGCTCTCATGAAAGGATCTCCATGCTGTAGGTACGAATGTATCACTGTGGCCAAGGCACCTCCCTTCTTGCCTGAATAATAAAGTGAAATTACAGTCAGTCAGTCTTAATATCACTTAGTATATGATACGGTGAATATAATTCTTCTGAGGATTAAAGCACTAAATAAATATGATAAAGAAATAATAAAATTAATCAAATATAAAATTTTATTAGAGTAAGGGTATATGCAATAGAGCATGCATGTGTATGTGTCTGTGTATACATTGGGATGCTTGCACAGATGTCATTTATTCTGAATATACATGTGTGAGTGCATGATTGCATATGCACATCTCAGTAAGTATTTATGAGCATGTACTAGCATGTGTGTGTTCTTGTGTTGGTACATGTGCATATGTGCATATACATACTGAAAATTAGACCTACCTTTGCATACATCCACCAGTGCGGCCAGTGCCTTGAGCCTGGACAAGGGGTCAAATGTCCACACTGACAGCTGTCTGAGGGTCAGTCCTCCTGGACCCATCCCCACTCCCTGGTCATGTTCCTGCTGGAGCTGGACGAGAGGAGAAAAAAATGTTTGTGAGTATTTGTGAAAATTATGTACACTTAATGCTGATAAAATGTTAAAATTTCTTTTTGAAATATTTTAAATATGGACTTCTCATAATAGGTTGAAACTGATGGTAAATACTATTTTTCATCTTTACATGACAGCATATTTTTTCTTGCTTTCTTTGTAAAATGATTAATCTTCTATAACTTCACACTTTAAATTGTCTTCCAGGCATTTATCAGATTTTTAAGTTTAAAGAAAAGGGGCTCTGTCGCAGAATTCTCATTACAAATGCAAAGCAATTCTAGCAAACCACACTGTACCAAAGGTTTCTGGCTAGGGATAAGGTTTTGATATCAGACTGTGAGCACTATTAAATTACAGAGTGAGAGATCCATTTGCTCACCTGTGCCTCCAACACTGCTATCAGTCTATAGTATTCTGTCAGTTCTTGATGAAGTGCAGCACAGAAACTCTGAAACCAAAAGTTTATCGAGATATTCATAAGACATCCACTACGCCCACACACACAATTGTGATATTCTGTCAAGAGATGCACTTCACCCTTATTCATGTGAGTTTGCTTATATTTAATCAATTATGAAGGGTTGCAATGTGCATTTGGCCCCATTCTTCTAATCATAAATGTAACTGCAATGCCTGATAGAACTAACTGCAAGTAAAAAAGTCATTGCATTATTTCAGATTTTAAAATATTTAGGAAAACATACATGGTAAACGAAGATATTTCAACCCCTCATTACAGACCCACATACCTGTCCAACGAGTCCAAATGCTTTATCTGAACTCCTGGCATCTGCGTACTTCCTGATCTTGGTGTACAGCCACCCACACTCCGCCAGCTTGGTCACCTTTTGTCTCACTGCCCTGGCTATACCAGCCTATGGACATCATAAGAACAGAGTGAGTACTTAATACAAGGTATTTCTTTTCTTTCCCCTTTTGTCTTTCTGCCCTGGCTATACCAGCATGTGTAATGCAATAAAATACATTCATAAAATCTTCTTTCTTATCTTTTAACAAATGCTGCAGTGATGTCACACCTCATAGGTCGAAAGCAAGTTTAACATTTCATTTTGCCATCAGCACAAGAGACAACAAAATCCTAGTTCACCATACAACATGTACCTTGTCATCTATCCTGTACCCCGCATTGTTAATGTCCCATTTAATCAACTGCCCGTCTATCCCCTGCAGCACATAGACCATCTCTCTCAGCAGCACAGCCTCTGGGATCTCATAAGACACTGGGGAAATTGACAGAATATCATTGGTGTTATATCACTGCATTTGCTTGTAAACTACACTATTCTTTCATATTTTCCTTTTTTGTTGGTGATACTGTTGAGGTTAAATGTATTTCAGTTTTCTTCGGTTTCTTTATCCAAACTGACACACTATTAGGTGGATAAATGTCTTTACAAAAACTTACTTCAAAAGTGTGCAAAAGTAAGGCATCTCATTTTGCAATCTCAACCAGATGACAATGGGGAAATGCAAACTGATGGCCAAACTTTCACTAGCTGGCAACAAGTGAATGGAATGTCAATAAACCTGTTTGACTGAACATTTAACTTATTTCTCTACAGGGAAATTTCAGAGCCCTCCATGCACATACCATTGTCTTCCCCATCTCTGTGTGTGCTGGCTATTGTGACACTCTTACTGCCCCTGGGCACCACTGATGTACTGGACTGCTGACCTGGAATATTTAGAATTGAATCCTCAACATGACTACAGCACAATGGTATTTAACCAAACACAATCAGAGAAGATACGCTGTCACACCTAACACAATTTTATCACGCCCGACACAATGAATACAGAAACAATGTCACACCATATGCAATAGTATGACATCTTACACAACAACAACAGAAATGTTGTCACACCTAAAACAAAACTTGCAGGGTTAATGCAATTCCAGCATTATACTGTCACCTCTACTTGTCACACAAAAAAAAATTATCATGGGACCCAACATCTAACCTTGTTGAATCTCAGGAACCATCAGAATTGAAATTTAAAAACAAGGCAGCAAAGCTGTCAAATGTACAGACAAAAAGCAGGAAATAACTATGCACAAAATAGGCTACTGTCAATTCTGATGCAAAAGTACATTATGTTAAACTGTAAATTCAACATCAAATTTTAATTATGCTCAACAGAAAATACCAATGAAAGTAAAATGTGTAACAAGCATAAGGCTTCAGGCCCATGAGAGTTCAAGTTCACACTTTGAAAATGTATAACTTCCAGAAAAAGAAGCCAATTAGACTGCTTTTCCAACTCAGGCTGCATGCCGATTTTCGAACTTGACCTCCGTTTTAGTAAGATCGATTACTCCTGAGAGTTTCACGACAACAGGCCTATCGGTTTTTCTTGAAATGTGTTTACAGTGTTGCATATATGTTGAAAAGTGAAAGAAAAAAGCATAACTTCTACATTAATGGCCCGATCATCCTGATTTTCGAACTTGACCTGCGTTTTATGAATATTCATCAGCTCTTTAAATATAAAGCCCAAAAGTAAAACTGCCTTCCACTTATCGTGTTTACAATGAAAGTGCAAGGTGCCGGCAACGGCGATGACGGCGACGACAGACGCAGGTGATGGCAATATGTACAGACACATCTGTACATATTTACTGTACTGTTTGAGAACAGTAAGTGACATGGTTTTTCTTAAATGGTCATCATGGGAGCAGTGCCCAAAATAGGTTTTTTTCAAATTTTGACGCAATATTACATAATGTTTAACAGCATAATGACCATCAATTTTTAATAATAAAATATTAGTATCATGGATATTCAGAAAATGTGACTAGCAAAGGTCTTCAGGCCCATGGAACTTCAAAGTCACAACTTGAAAATGCCAAAATGTAAACAAGACAGCACTGTTCTGAAATGTTTTTTTTTCCATTTTTAACAATTTTTAACATAAAACAAAATTAACAGTTTACTGCCATTTTTATATGATCAACTAAGAAAATTGATGAGATGGGAAAAATATCAATAGAGCAGTGTTAAATGTCCAATTTCTTCCATTCTGAGATTCTGAACATAGTGAATGATTGAATCTGACAAACTGCAATGATATGAGTTTATTTCCATTTTTGAAACTTTATTACACAATACACGATAACAAGTTTACCATCATTTTTACAAAATCAACTAACAATGTTGTAAAGATGCAGGAAATGTCAAACAAACACTTTTACGTATCTTATTAGTTTAATAATGAGACTGTTAACATGCCTAAGAATTGAATCTGAGGAAATGTGAAAAATATGCTGAAAAGTGAGAAAACAGCAGAACTTCTACAATAATGGCCAGATCATGCTGATTTTCGAACTTGACCTGCGTTTTATGAATATTCATCAGCTCTGTAAATATAAAGCCAATAAGTAAAACTGCCCTCCACTTATCGTGTTTACAAGGAAAGTGCACGGCGCCGGCATCGCCATCGGCATCACCATCGCCATCGGCGACGGCGACGACAGACGCAGGTGATGGCAATATGTACAGACACATCTGTGTCTGTACATAAAAAGTGGAATTCCACTTTTTCGGGGAAGAAGCTCATGTTTACCTAACACAATTACATTTAATAAGAGTCACATCTAGCACAATCCTATGTTGGTCTCACCTCCTCTGTTCAGAGACAAGGCCAGACGTTGCCCCAGGGTGGGTCTACCTGCAGTGTATGGGGTCTGACCCAGGGCAGTACCTGATAGATGACTGGAAAATGGGGAAAGAGCATGATTATTTTAATTCATGTAAGCTAACAGTTGTAATATTGCAAATGGTGTCCATGGTTTAAATAAATATCTTACCAGGAAAAACAATAATTGATTTTTAAATACAATAAATCACAAGAAGAAACAGGTGGTGATACAACATCAAAATGTGAAACATTCAGGCCGACTTTCAAAAAGAGAGAGAGAGAGAGAGAGAGAGAGAGAGAGAGAGAGAGCAAAAAATTGACTAGAACCTAGGAGCAAAAGACTGTGGCACTGGTGTGGGGTCCCCACTTCTCCCAGAGTGGATACTGCTAATCCCACTGCTGCCTGTTGACATACCACTCTGGAAATTATGAAAACAATACCACTTAAATTTAACACCATACTGCATCATTATGACCAAAATTTACAAAACCTGATCCAGTACAATATTTCCTCCATAAAAAAAAATCTAAAATTGTATACACCATACTCTGCAGTACTGTATGCATAGTAAAAAGGTTTAGTTTTATCACGTACAAATTTGGTTTATATATTGGCGTAATAAACATAATTACTGTCAATAGGCAATAACTGATTAAGATTATTTGCAATAATTATAATATGCACTAATGTGGGAAATCTGTGGTTATCAACATGGCAGTACACTGTAACTTTTCATAACTTTATAATATGACTTTTCAAATCTTGAACTACATTACACAATTTTCCAATGGTAGTATTGGCTGTATTAAATGCCTGAGCATACCTGTATTGTGCTGCCCCCTACAGCTGGAGTCTGCTGGGGGCCTGCTCTGTGAGTCATAGGGGTAGAGGTGGCATACTGACCCCGGCTGGATGCAAAAATATGACTCCCTGGTAGGGGCTGGAATAAATACATGTGCCTTAATTCAACTGCAACATTTCATTACTACTCATCTTTTTTTTTTTACTGAACATTTAATGAAATGATACGGGGTGTCAGATGGTATAAAAATAATCGTTTTAATATATATTTAATGCCTGCAATAAAAATTCAATAAAGAAAAAAATTGCTCAGACAAACTAGGCTGTGTTTATGACCAAACTAATTTAGACTGAACTGTATGGCACAACATGAGGCATTATATTACAGTTCAAATAATCCACCTGGTGATATCCAGTAGACTTGTTTAAGTCTACGAACAGATAAAGTACCAGTCACATAGCTATAAGCCAAAAAGAGGAAACAAAATCGAACTAAAAATCTCTATTTTGCATAAAGATCTGAGTAGAGGGCTTTATCTGTCTAAAACCATGGTTCATGCAGAAAACGAAAAGCTGTGTTCAATGCCACATTTGTTTCTATTGTGATTCTACATTGTTTTCTGCTCAAACTACGACTAAATTTAGCTTTGTTGAAAAATTGGACACTACAAACCCTGTGTTTTGAGGTGTTATCACTCAGGCAAAGCAGCAGACTGAGGCAGGACCATCTATTCTTTAGAACACCCTGTGACTGCAGCTTTCTGTGCAGCTCAGAGATAACAGCAGCGTCTTTCTCCCTGCCCTGCCTTGCCACTGAAATGATAGATGATATCTTCAACCTGCTATACTGCTGTACACATTTACAGATATAGAGACAGAAAATGCTCATGAAAGAAGAATGTTCAATGGAGTTTTCATTTCTGAGTATTTCATACACATGTAAGAAACTTAATTTTTTTACATGAATGGAAAAGTATCAATTTCTGGAAAGAGAAGTATTTCCATTAAAAAATTTATATCCCAATAAATAAGTAAATAAATATACAAATTTTTACAAATACTAAGATCATGCTTTTTACAATTACGGNTAAAAGCTGAACACAGTGAATTAAACTGAAAGTAATGCTTACACTTAGCAATGTTAGGTAAGTGGAAATAAATTCCGGTACAGCCGTATTCCATTCGTATTTCAATGGATACGAACGCGTGGCAATTTTTAGCAGACTGAATTTCAAGCCTTACGAACAAAACGATTATCTTCCAAAAATAATTAATTTAAATCGTTCGTATAGATTGGAGAATTACCGTACACATCAAGAACATTCTAAATCTATAATCAAATTCAAATAAAGACTTCTGATTCTAATTTTATCAAAAGTGGGTTGCTTACATTTCCTTTTTATTTTTTCTGCCATCTGGAACTCGTCTGCCTCAGCCTGGACTGACAAATCACTAAAGAGAGGGGAAAATACATGTTCATGAACTCTACATTGACAGTTCAACCTTATTTTGAGGTTTGCTGATTTAATAAATTTAGATGTCTAAACTTAAGCCTAGAAGATATTAAGATTATGTGTGAGGCAAATTTAGCAGAGTTGTCAACTCTGATGTATTACATTTTTCTATGTATTTTTTTAAAAATAATAATATATATTTACTTAAAGTTAGATTTTACAATAAAAACAAATAGTCGTGAGATGCACAATCTTAAAATATACTTGTAAGTGTTAAAATGATTCGATACACATTAAAAATTCATAAAAAAACTCAGTTCTTAAAATTTGTTCTTAAAAAATGTATTATTCAGGACAGACTATCATAACATTTATTGTTAATAAGACATAAGAAAAACACACACACATCAGCTTTTACCTGGCCAGTGTCCTGAGAGCTTGCTGGAACAATGGCTGCACAGTATCTGAAAATATTTTAAAAAAATACACATTATACTTTTTGGGGTATCTTTAACAAATGCTTAGTATAAGGGAACATCAGTCTCAAATTTTAACACTGGCCCTCCAGTATATGCCAGGAAGACTGAATTCAAAAGATGAAAATTTTGATGCTTTATTCATAACGTACTGTTTCTGCATTAAGTCAATAGACACTTAGAGTCTGGTGTTGTGAATTGACGAGAAGGCTTGGACGTTTTCGGTAAGGACTGAAACAATTTGTGTTACAAAGTACACTTCTACTACATTAAACTATGTCGAAAGACTGGTTAAAAGTGGAGACAGATTTTCTCAGGCTTAGCAAGTGCTAAAAGATGACACTACCATGCGGAAAATATAATTCTAAATCAAAATTCTAACGCTGACGCCTTGACTTAAAAGTTACTTAGCCAAGACTCCAGACAAGATCGAATCTCGACCGACCGCAGTGCTCGACTCACCATCTCCAAGGCCTGTCACCCTAACGCACAGCCTTTTTAATAAAGCTGGTGGGGATCTTGGATCATTCATCATATTGGCTGCACCTTCCCAAAGTTTATATTTAACACATGTTTACGGCTTTTCCAAATGTTATTATCTTTCTTCAGTTCTGTTTTAACGATCCCGCGCAAAGCGGTTCTGTTTAATATAATATGTGAAGTTTCGTAAATATCTAGGTAATTATTTTTATATAGCAATTTAACTTTTTGGCAAGAAAAATTACAATCGTAATTTTTTTATTGTAAAATTGATGACAAAAAGTAAAACTGTTGTCCAACTTACAAGAAAAGCATTCATCTTTTTACGCAACTAAACAATAATCTTTACCTAGCTCCTTTTGTTAGGGGTCAATGGGCGCGGGTATCTAGGAACAGGACTCGATACCGACAAAAACTTTTAATTTTTTACAGAGTTTAGAATGGAATCAGAAATGTAGACGGTTTATTTTAAAGAACACAAACAAGTCCGGGAATGCCATCTTTGTTTAGGAGAATTGGACTGGCTGTGGTAAGTAGAATTGGCATCGAATGTAGACGTATTGGTATTTCGAAACAGCAACTACAAACGTGGGACCCCAAACTGTATTGATCCAGAGTATACCAAACTATTGTTAAAAGTTGGTACTAAAGTTGATACTTAATGGGCAAGTACGACTGAATGTTGATAGGAGGTTTAAAAAATTGATAAAAACAACTGAGTTTAACGTCGTCTTATGAAGCATGGCAATAAAGTAAACGCTTTATTTACTACTACTAGTACTACTACTACTAATAGCACTATATTACCTAACTGAAAACGGATGTAATCTCCTGAATGAATCACCTGGTATAGTTTCAGTTTTGATTGTGAAAGAGCTGTGTAGTGACTAAAGAAAACAACATTAGTGCATACATAGAGAAATCTATCGTTTATGCTTTACGCACACCGTTTTCCTAAGAGGTTAATAATATGATCAAACGGTATATCTCTGAGACCCCCCCCCCCCTTTTCTAACTTTAATCACTTGGACAGTGTGACGAGTTTAAACTGTGGAGTGATAAATGATTAAGTTTTATCGATAGACTAAAGGTAATGTGATAATATAAAAAGATTCAGACATCCCAGCTATATTCCTGGGTAATTAAAACATTGTACTGGTACTTTATGGGCAATATTTTATCAAAGTTCATCCTTCCATAAACATTCTAAAGCAATCAAAAGTGTCCAATGACTGTTAAAGATGTTTTCTTAACCTACCGGAAGCTTATTTCAAGAGATTCCATATTTCAGGATGTCTATAGATACATTCCATGGTTTTTCACTTTGCAAAAAAAAAAAAAAAAAAAAATTATGTGTCAGCAGAGGCACTGTTATTTGTATCAATTATATTACTTACTAGTACATGTATATAGACAAGAACATAACATGAAGGCTGTTGAAAAAAATGGGAAAATAAAAGATAAAATAGCTTGAAGAGTTTCTTACAGCAGTATAAAGGATAGGCTTTGTTAGGGCAGAACAGGATGTTAAGTGGACCGTGTAGATTGAAGTGTCTTGCTAAGTGATATTAAAGAAATAAAATGTTTATATAACATTTTCCTTATTGCCCTTATGAAATGCCAAAAATTTCCAGTTTTAGTGCTTGTGTGCTGCTGATGGTTCCGTCATATGCTCAGCTGAAATTACAAATGTATTTATGTTATGTTGTGCTATAATTAATGTACTAGTATATATTTTATGTACATGGCATCTGATCCAGAAATTTTTGTATTTATACATTGAATTGGGATATAAGGGTAAACCTCCATTTGAAGATCTATCTTGGACCCATTTCATAGGAAGGGATATAAAAATTTACAGAGGTTAAAATAGATTGTATATTCTGAGGAATGACTCTTGATAGAAAAAGCATTATAATTTTTACCTCTGCCAAGGAGGTTATGTTTTCATCCCTGTCTGTGTGTTTGTTTGTCATCAACATAACTCAAAAAGTTATGGACCGATTTTGATGAAATTTTCAGAGTAGGTGGGAAATGGGTTAACTTAGAAGTGATTAGTTTTTTGGTGGTGATCCGGATCAATAATCAATCAATAATCAATAATAATTAAAAAAATGCTGCCTTGGCAGAAGTCTGCGCTCTCGGAGTGCTTTTCTAGTTCATGTTCTGATACAACCTAGTACTAGTACTAGTATGTACAAAGGGTTCAGAGATAGGCAAATGAGTGGTTATATACTAGTATGGTTGAATGATGTCAGATGATGTACATGAATGATGTGGTTTTAAAAAGAAAAATACAAATGTGCAGACAGTGTACTAGTAATGTTGTACGCTATTTATTTATTTATTTTTCTAATAATTCAGTTTTGTGACTTTCTCACACTTCTTCTTCCTTCATGTTCATCATGTTATCCCTTTGTTGCAAATCTCTTGCCTTTAATAATAATAATAATAATAATAATAATAATCCTTTTATCACTGTGATTCAGGGGTGCCTTAAGCCACCAACAAAAGAGAATCGCGTCATCTTTGTGGACAACAAGCCACCCTTGCAGCATGAGACTTACATTCCGCAGAAATACTGTGATAATCAAATCATAACCTCCAAGGTAAGGAAAACACCCTGAGTCTTATACAGGGATATTTTAGTACTTTGTGATTATAGACAGCTGAATTGATAATAGATTTTAAAGAATAAAATATCGTGACAGTCAAATCATGATCTCCAAGGTAAGGAAATAGTCTGCACACACTGAGTGCTTTTTAGTATAATCATGACATTTTTGTTGACTTAACCCCATTTTTCAGTTTGATGAAATGCACCAAGTTTAGATATGATTCAGCTTAAATTTAGACTTAGCATAGTTTACAGGATGTAAATGGTCTGTGAGTGTTTTTCTAGTTTAATGGTGACATTTTGTTGACTTATTCCTTATCTTTCAATTTGTTGAAATGTCCCAAAGTTAAGATATAATTCAGTTTGAATGTAAACTTGGTGTAGTTTACAGGTCTTTTATAGCACAATTGTTTGTATTTCAAAACTATTCTTATTTTCTGTTTTAGTACACGTTATGGAATTTCCTGCCAAAGAACTTATTTGAACAGTTTCACAGAATTGCCAATTTTTACTTCCTGTGTGTGGGAGTAATTGAGGTGAGTGTCTGTTAAGTTCACTGATGCATCTCTAGTGAATTTAAATGTGGTGATTATTAATTATTTTTTTATTTATTTTTTTTTTTTACAGTTCATGGAACAAAAACTCAAAAAAGTAGTGTGTGGATTGTAATTATCTTAACAGCTTTGGCAAGGGTATACACTCCTGATTAAAGCAATAATAACTCTTCCTTTGAGATTCAAAATTCCGCATGAAATACATTGTAAACAACGCATGGAAATATATTCTATTGTATTTTACCACTAAAACGGCCGTTATTGTAGTAAAACTAAAATCTGTGCTTGTCAATAGGGCTTACGATGCTTTTCTTCCTGGTCATCAAGGCATTCGTTGCTAATGACGTAATGGTGTCACGCGGATTCTCGCGTTCATTCGAGACCAAAATAACATATGGCGGCAAACGCATTAATGCAGACGCAGACGTAAGTTGCGAGTTTTTGTACAGTGCGTCGGATAACGAAAAGCCCAGAATGGCACACATTGTGGATATTAATGTATTTTTAACAAAAAGACGAATATATCTCATGAATCATATATATTGTTGTTGTTGTCTGCTTTTCCCGCGGTTTTAAGTAGGTCAACAGTGACTATGCGATGTCAGAGAGAGCTCCGTCAGTTAAAATCTCTTAAGAGATTTTAACAAAAAACCGTACGTTTAGGAAAAAAACCCTGGATTAACTTTGAATGCAGGAATGGGGTCGCTGACCATTGGTAAGTACGGGAAAATTGCCGTTTACTCCAGGAAAATCCAATTTTTGGCCAAAATGAAGAGTTATTATGACTTTAAGGAAAATATTGAAATTTCCAGCATTTTTTTGAAAATCTGTACTTCAAGTAAAATGTCCATTAAGTATCTTGAAATGTGTGCAGATTTTAGTCAACTCTGTGTTTTGCAACAAGTTTGTGGTAAAACGTGCATCTTGAAATGATCCAAGGAACACTAACATGCAAACCATGTCTGCAGGAAATTTGATGTGACCATGATTGGTATCAAAGAGCGCATTTAGAACCACGGACTAACAGATCCGTAGATCAAATATGGCTACCCACTAAAAAGTTTGCTGCTTAATTCCCGATTAGACACTAAATAGATTTCCCCAGGGGATTACAGTACGCAACAAGCATTCAAGTTGATCAGTCAAGTTTGATCCGCGGATCTGTTAGTCAGCTATTCTGAATGTGTTCATACACATTAAGCCTCCACGACATGAGTATCAGATGGAACCTAATTTCATCCACTGCTGGATACAGGATATTGAAAAGTTTATCCTTTTATTTTCCTTTTTTTTTGTGTGTGTGAGGTGTAAAATATTGATCTGCTATTCCAACTGTACATTACAGTGGTGAACAGTGCAGAGACTGTGGGTGGATGAAGTTAGTTAAATGTGTCTTGTCTCCCATAATTGAGGAAGGACCAACCAGATCTTTTTGTTTTTGATTTGGAGTGTTGGTGGGTGGTTGAGTGGGTTGGGGGGTAGAAGGGGGAAGAGCTGATCCCCATTCTTTGCCAACAACATTTTAACCTTCTGACCCTTAAGGCCAACAGGGATTAAGAATCTGCAGGCTTAAAGCAGAAATAGTCACGGCGGAGTCCTAAACAGATTTACTAGTACACAAGTTTATTGGCAGGGATTCAGTGACATATGGGCCACTCTTGGCAGTGGTTAACATTGCAGCCTTGTGTGTCATGATGTTAATATTGTGTTTGGTTGTAGCTGATTCACTTAGTGACTACTGTAGCATATGTTGAATGTTCAACCTCCATGATTATGGGGCCCGCTTTTCAAAAGATAATTGATAACCATATTATGGCCGTGTAATTTGATATAACATCAAGATTAAAGCAATAATGGTGCTCAACTTATTCAGTCAGGTAGACATTTAGGCTGTCAATTATTCATGTCTCTCAGCTCTTTGCTATGCACTCTGTTTAATTGCATTGGATATGACAGGTTATTTATATCTGTCAAGAAAATCATATCAGGAGTGAAGGTTTCCTGCTTTTTTTGGAGAAATCCCTTCATTTTTATGTGAGAGACAGTTGTAAAATTCTGAAATTTGGAGATGGTAATTTTTTTAGAGGAGGTAGAGCATTCTGTTCCTGTTTTATTTTGAATTTTAAGGTAAAAGAACTGGAAATTCATAACAACTTTGTCATCATACCATCAAGATTATTTGTTCATTAAACAATACCATTTCGATGTGCTACTTAAAAGTAGATATAACTCATAAGTAAAAAGGCAAACGTATTTGGAAATTGTTTTACTAGTAAGTCATATTTTTAAGTCTAAATATGCTGCAAAGTTTTTTTTTTTTTTTTCAATCTTCCCCAGTTCAGATCTTTAAAATGCTTTAATCTTTCAAATAAAAGTATATTTGAAGTGTATCTTGTATCTTGGTATGGCTGTATAAATGAATGGTAATTTGTTTGGAACTAAGTTAGTTTGTAGAATCTACATAACTCTGACCTTTGGGGGTCAAAAATATTGTTCATGTTGCACCAAGAATGGAGAACGACAACAGTTGTTATAAGTCCAGTTGATGTAGAAAAAGAAAACACTCTATAAGACTTGTTATGGATGATATTCCCAGTTATAAGGTGACAGGTTATAGGGAGTCCACTGTATATCAAATGCATTGATAGTCCTCCGCATGATAAGTCAGTATATTTTATATGACCCAGTCAGATGGAAAGGATGATAAAGGCTGGATGATAAACTTTTATTGGATTGTTGTGGAGATTGGGGTCTTTCTGGCATATAGGGGATTAAATTTTGAAGTGTAATGCTCCTTTTGATGAAATGGATTTTTTAAGACATTGTCAACAAATTTATCAAAATAAAATTTTCAGTACTAGTGTTCCTCTTCTTAATGTCAACTTAAATCTTATCTTTGCTTTATTTATTCGCTCATTTTTGGTGCATTCATTCATTTATTCATTCCTTCTGTCCAAATGAATTTTTGCAGGTTTTTAAAATTTGTTTTATTCTGACATTTTTGAGGCATATTCCTCACCTGCTCTAATTGTATTTACTCTCCACAGAAGATCTCAGATTTTGACGATAGTTTTTCCAAAAATGGCACACCAAGTACGTATGTATGTTTTTAACACGGCTTTTTTGTCTCGTGTACAGATTGATTATCAGTCACCATATTCATTCTTCTGTGTCAGCAAACTTCATGCCCCCTTGCCTTTGAACAAGGCACATTTCCTGAGTAACGATGAAAATAGATTTTGATTTATAGGATTTTGCAATCCCAACAAAACATATTCTACCAGCATGGTGCTAGCATGAATGTAGCCTGAATATTTCATCAGATATTATTTAATATTTCATAATTTACATTATTTTTGGTAAAAAAAAAAAAGCCAAACAGAAACCCGCTCCTGTGTATATAAGATAGATCCATCCGTCATTTATTGATGAATAATTTATATGCAGACAACATACTGAGATTGACTTTTGTTGATGTTGATGTGTCAGACTATCTAGGATAGCTTCCTTAGGAAATGAGGCTTTCAAGTTCAGTTTCAATATCAGTGAATAGCCTTTGTCGACTCTATTTTAATAGAAATAGTCTTTCACCTGATTGTTCTAATAAAAATGGCCTCTATTCTCTTTATTCTAATAGAACTAGCCTCTATTCTCTCTATAATTCTAATAGAACTAGCCTCTATTCTCTCTATTCTAATAGAAAAGCTTCCAACCTCTTTTTTAATTTAGAAATAGTCTATGCCCTATTCCCATTTTATTCTAATAGAAATGGCCTCTATCTTCTATCAGACATGAGCTTTTTTCATGGAAACATGGAATTCTGCATTTAATTCAATTCCTTAGGCGGCCCCCTCTGACTAATTGGGTGTTGGGTCCCATGGTAAATGATCAGAGGGCTTTTTTTAAACCTAGGCTCATATCTGTTCTATATTATCATAGGAATAGCCTCTGTCCTCTCTTTTCTAATAGAAATAGCTGCTATCTTCTCTGTGGTAATAGAAATAGCCTCTGTCTTCTCTTTTCTAAGGTGAAGTGGGATTTTCACTGTCCCCTGTGAAATGATGATAAAAAAGAGAATTGTTTCAGTGGAAACTACTAGTAAACATTTTTTAAAGGCTTGAAACATTTTTCATCTGTAAAAATGTCTTTTAGTAGTCTCTTTAGAAAATTTTCAGTTTTTGATATTGTTATAAGTTATCGAATAAAATCTCTTTTAGCAAAAAAATGAAAACAATGTCATTGTTCAGATTTTATTACCTGCTGGCATACTCTTTGTCAAGGCAATTTTTCCCAGTTTTTGGTAAAAACTTTATTTTTCTCTCTCTCTCTCTTTGCAAGCAATTTGGTGCCTGCCTATGTTACCTGTAAGTTCAGAATTTTTCTATAATTTTTTTAAAGATTTTCCTGCAAACAGTAAAGCAAGTTGAATCATTCACTAATTACTTTAAACTGGTTAACTTCAAAGAGTTACTTTTCATCTCTTTTAATTAACTTAGAGCTTACTTAAATTAGCTGAATAAGTTCTTTTTATTATTTGGAAAGGGGCAGCAGGCAATTAACCTATTTGGTTTTGAAAATCCTCATTCCACCAAATTCTTCTACTGTAAAAAAAGGAAATATATAAGATTTGTCGGTTTGGCTTGAACACATTTTGAACAGCCTGCCACTAAAATACAGCCATTTAATGATGTCTTTAAATTTTGCACTGCTGGTAATATATAACCTGTTTCTATGTCACGTCATCTTACATGTTGACATACGAGATGCTCTTTGTGTGCACATCTGTTAGTAATACAGGTCCAATTTGGTCGCTAATCAATAACACATTATACTTGGTCGAATAAAAAATGGATTGGTTATAGAGACGTAGAATAATTGACTGGACTCCATCTATTGGAGAGATTTTCCTTTGTATATCTCACATGGCTGTGGTTAGTTTACCTTATTTCAATTTTTCTGAGAGTGCAGTCAGGGCAGTGGTGTAACAGGCCTACCCAACTACCAGACTCGGCACCGAATGATCCTGAATTCACCGGTAGATCAGACCACACCACCTGTTTTCAAGGTGTGTGTCAGATCGCATTACACAGTATTATACCCTGAACAAATTTTGAGTGGTGATGCAATGCTTTTCAACCCTGCTGAGAATCGTCATTATCACATCGCGTAATAGGCAAGAGCGGTGTTGCGTCTGATACTGTTGGGTAGGCCTGGTGTAACATATCCGTGGATCAAATATGACCGACCCAGGTTAATGCTTGTTGCGTAATCCCTGCGGGGAATCTATTCAGCATCTAATCAGGAATTAAGCTGCAAGTTTTTTTAGTGGCTTGCCAAATTTGATTCGTGGGTCTGTCAGTTAAAGTGTTGAATAAAAAGGAATAACATCCCCCCCCCACCCCCCATTTCTTTTTACCAGAGAAATTTAATTATTTCTATTCATATTGAAACGGTCAGCCTCGTGTATCACCCAATTAACTGAAAGATGTAATTTTTTTTTTAATAAGAAATTTTCTGTCTGAAAATCCAACTTTATTATCAGGAATTCATTACTACACAATATATAATACTGTGTAAACCCTTTTCCGTACATGAAACCAATTAACAATTTATCAGAATTCTTGGTATAGAAGACACACCAAAGGAGTGTAACTTTAGTGAATAAAATTAATTTCTTTCTTTATTTTTCAGCTTTTGATAGAAAGCCCAGTGAGTCCAGCCACAAGTATACTTCCACTGATCTTTGTGATAACTACTACTGGCATAAAACAGGTGAGTTGGCTTTCACTATGGTAACACATGTTTGGAAGTTCATACCAGGCACACTTGCACTGTTCAAACACAGCTGTGTCATGCGATGGTAGTACTAATATCTAATGGCAATCTTGGCTAATGGTATCAGTCTTGTTTTGAAAGATAACCTACTTTCACCTCATCTGATGTTTGACAGCTTTAAGGTTTATGTAGTGTAAAACTACTGTTTTATGGCCTTTTAGTATGTTTTCCATTTTTGCATTTTTTTTTCTATTTTGAAAGCACTTTCACCTTTGACATTGTGACCTTAGGTATTGTGACCTTTAACATTGTGACCTTTGGTATTGTGACCTTCAACACGTTGACCTTTGGCATTGTGACCTCTTGCATTAAGTTTTTAATGATGAAATTGTTTTTTCAATGTAGGGCTATGAAGACTGGCTGCGGCACAAGTCGGACAAAGAGGTCAACAACCGACCGGCGTGGGTGCTTAGAGGGGATAGGTTTGTGGAGATACGGGCCATGGATATACAGGTAATAAAGGAGGAGGGGATAAGGGAGGGGGTGGGGGCGGGGGGGGGGGGGGGGGGGGGGCACCCAAGAGCATGCTTGAAAGACCTGAGACTTAGACAGACAGGCAGGTCAATATTTGTCATATATAGAAATATCTTATATTTGAATATTATGAAATATATTATATAATTTATGTATTGAATAGTTGAATATTTTGTTGTTCTCCCTCAGGTTGGGGATATTGTGAAAGTGCACATAAACCACAGTTTCCCGTGTGACCTGGTCCAGCTCTCGTCACATGACCCAAGCGGTGACTGTACGGTAACAACAGCCAACTTGGACGGAGAGACTAATTTAAAGGTAAGGGGGTGGGTACCAGTCTGGCAGGAGGATTGGAGGAAGGCAGACATCTTTCCTCTTAGACTAGTAATCAAATCAGCTTGGATGGAACTTTTCATAACTGTTATATGTATTATATACTTTGAATTATCAAAAGCAAGCTGATCACAAGATACTTTCAGCTTTTGTCAGTTATGATTTTTTTCTGCAGTGATTATAATATCCTGTTCTTTGTAATGAATATGAACAAGTTATATTTGTACTGGAATAAATTTGAATTAGAGGAATATTACCAATTTGCAATTATATTTATTTTCTGAGCCCTAGGTTTTAAATGATGGTAAAATTTAGAATATATTCTCAGATATTTTGCCCACCTGTCAGTAACATTTCTTCACTGCATGCGTTAAATTTTTTGCTCATAAAGATATTTGTATTTTCCAGACATTTATAAGTGTGCCAGCTACAAAAAATATGCAAACAGAAGATGATCTGAGTACAGTAAAAGCCACAATAGAATGTCAACAGCCAATTGCAGATCTCTATAAGTTCATAGGGCGTATCACCGTGGAGGTGCCCAATCAGCAATCAGAGAAAGTGTGTCAACCATTAGGGGCGGAGCATGTTCTTCTGCGGGGGTCTAGATTGAAGAATACACCTTTTGTCCATGGTAGGTATTGGCAGCAGCTTTGCTGAAAAGGTACTTTTCATCTTTATAAACATGATAAAGGCTACTTTCTTATTGCTAGGTCAGGCAACTTTTTCAGTCTTGTAAATCGGCCATTTTGTGTTAAAATCCATGTGCGAAAGAAAATGTATGTTTTGGTTGCACAGTTAACTTTATTTTTTTTAGATATGATACCAACAATATAATTTTGATGAATTCAAAATTTCAGTGAAATTGTAGTTGTAATGTCATTTTTAAAGTGTTTCTCTAATTGCAATTTTATTGATATAAATATGTTTTTTTTTCTTTCCTAGGCTGTGCCATCTACACAGGCCAAGACACCAAAATGGCAATTAATTCCAAGTTTAAAATTCAGAAGTATTCAAAAGTTGAAAGGTACTTGATGAATTTATCACTTGTATCTAAAATAGATGGTGATACATCTTTAGATGTTCAGTTGTTTTTGATCAAACTTAAATTTTTAAAAATCAGTTATGTATGAAATGGTTTCCTATATTATGACTGTAAGACACTTGCTCCTTTTTACAATATTTAACATATTAGATTTTTTTTTGTGATTCAGTAGATTGAACTTTGATTATTTGGACATTAAATTCTCCATGTTGTTTATGACTGGATGGCCAGTGATAAAAATGAACATATTTCTTACCCAGAACAAGATTGCATTTTAACTCTAACCAGTTGTTCCTGGTCATTGTTTTAATGTCGTAACATTTTTTTTTTCCGCAGAGCAATGAATACTTTCCTGATCTGTTTTATGATATTACTACTTCTGGAGACTAGTCTTTGCCTAGGACTAAGGTATTACACTGAAGCTCAACCAACATTGCAGAATTCTTGGTTTATACGTCTGGATAATCATTTAACAGTAAGTTCAGAAGCCAGAGAATTTTAAAAATTGGTGGTTAATTATTTAAAAACTTAGGATAATTTATTCTCACGTGTTTTAGTATGAAGCTCTAGGTGTGCAAAGGAATCGGTCATTTTGTATCTGAACCCATTTTCAATACTCAGGAGAACAAAGATATTTTCTAAATATAGCTGCAAATATTTTAAGTTTTTTTCATTCCAACTACTTTTTATTAATTATGCCTAAGACGAATATTAAATTTGAGTTTCAATATCTTTCTCTGCCCTTGATTATATACTGCAAACACAAAAATAACTAGTAATAAAGAAAAATGAATAAAAATTGGATGAAAATGAATAAAACATTTATTGAATGTGACAGATTTATAACATAAGGACAGAAGAGATTTATGCAAATCTTTCCTCTTTCAGGCAAGACAGGCAATAGAAGACTTCCTAATATTTGCAGTTCTCTTTAACTATATCATCCCTATATCACTTTATGTTACTATAGGTAAGATTCTTTACACTTTTACTGTAGAAATATGACCATTTCATCCCTGTATCACTTTATGTTACCATAGGTTAAAATATTTTATACTGTAATGTTAATATCAGTAAGACTAGTGCATTTGGTTTCAATTTTGCTGATATGATGACATTGATTATATGTATCTGATATATCACATTTGATGCCTACAAAACAAGTGAATATCTTTATGAATGATATTTGATATAATGACCTGCTATCAAATTTCCAGAGGTCCAGAAATTTATAGGGTCCATGTTTTTTGCTTGGGACATAAAAATGTATGATGATGGCACGGAGCAGGCAGCCAAGGCCAACACATCAGATCTGAATGAAGAACTGGGACAGGTAAGTTGAGACAATTAGTTGCAGGAGTCTGCCACAAAAAAAAGCTGTAATTTTTACAGTTTTTCAAATATGCCTAGTATTCTAAGTCAGGTTGGCTTCAGATAACAGAGAAAAATGTTACTTTCTCTCTGTCATACAAATAAACATTTTTGCATACAGCATATCTGGTGAAACTTCTACAAGTAGCCACAGTCCCAAAGCACTTGTTGCTCATTTTGCATTTTTGGGACAGGCATATGATGATGACAGTGTCAATGACAACACTGACAATAATGGTACATAAAAACATACGCCTTTGTTTCTTGCATTGACTTCGGTGAGTTTCCACAAAGAAATACGTTTACATACTTAGATTTAATTAATTCCATTACCCGATCTTTCCTCCAGGTGGAGTACCTGTTCACAGACAAGACGGGGACGCTGACAGAGAATGACATGCAGTTTAGGCAGTGCTCTGTTAATGGGACCAAGTATATAGAAGTGGGGGGACTGGTGTGTGAGAAGCCAGATATCCCTGGGGTGCAGCCACAACCTGTGTCTACTCTAACAGTAAGTGAGATAGTCTTGTACATAGGGAGTAGGAAGCAATATAGATTATTAGCTATATAGCCCAATGCTGTGGGTGGAAGGTGTGTGTGTGTGTGTGTGTGTGTGTGTGTGTGTGTGTGTGTGTGTGCGTGTGTATGGGCATGTTCAAAATCATGCTCATCTTGATAATGATATGACAATGACACTTTACACAGTACAAATGCTCATTCCAGTAAAATTACTCCACACCTAATGCATTAGCAATCACACCTAATGCAATTACTGTTATGCTTAACACAATAATAGTAACATTTCAATACGAAAACATTCACATTTCCATAAAGTTGCAGTCACATTCCTGTACAATGAAATCACACCTAATGCAATGAAAGGTACACTTGGCACAACTGGTCACAATTAGCACCATCACAATCACACCTAACACAATTGCATTCACATTTAACACAATTAAACTCACGCCTAACACAATAAGTCAAATTTGACTCTTCTTCTCTATATTTCCAGTCTGACATGGAGTGGTTCTTCACAGTGCTAGCCCTCTGCCACACTGTGAGGATAGAGAAGGCAGCAGATCATCAAATCAATGGCATAGTTGACTTTGACACCAGTGACTATGACTTTGAATACCAGGCCTCCTCTCCTGATGAAAAGGCTTTTGTGGATGCATGCAGAAGGTGGGTCTTAAATAATAAATGCCATGGTGACAAAATAGAAAAATAATAAGTTCAATATAACTTACATCTATTGTAGTGAGAAATATATGATCTGACACCTTTTGATGCTAAAGGGGAAAATGGCCAAAATTAGTAAACAACAGTATTTTGATCACCTTTCTGTTTTAGTCTCTCCTTTAATGCTTAAAGTTTGGAGCTGTAACTGTTACAATATTACTTCCTGATGTACCAGTGAGTGTAAATAATGCACACCAAGTCTGGTGAGGGTGTGTAATGTGATTTCTAATTTGAACTTTGTTTGACGTGTTTGTTTCCATGCACCAGGTATGGTGTTGTGTACCAAGGCGTTAAGGATGAACACCAGGAGGTCAAGGTCAAGGGCAAAGTGCATCGCTACAAACAGCTTCATGTTCTCGAGTTTGATGCCACCAGGAAAAGAATGAGCACTGTCGTACAGGATGAACAAGGTGCTGAAACTGCATCAGATTATCTCTCTCCCTCTCTCTCTCTCAGTATCTTGTCCTTGCAGGCCATTGACTGCCATGAACCTTCACAACTTCCTGTCTTAACATGATTTAAAAAATTCCATATTTTTTAAAAAGGCCACTTTGATCTTCGGGGTGCTCTGGTTTTTTTTTTTTTTTTTTTTTTTTTTACAACAGAAATTCTGAGTTGCTGATTAAAAATCACTTTATTCCAGGAAACATCTATTTGCTATGCAAAGGAGCAGAGTCAGCCATACTGTGCAATGCTACATCTGGAAATGTGACCAAGGCTCTTCAACATGTGAATGATTATGCAATGGTGAGCTTTTTATGGTTTCTTTTTTTCTTTTTTCTTTAAAAAGAAACATTTTAATTGGTTCAACTAGTTACACAAATCACATGACTGAGATTGTATAGAAAGTGTTTTTATTGTTTTTTGATGTTCCGTGACTAAAAAATTGTTTTCACAATTTTCAGCTGGGTCTGCGTACTCTTGTGATATCGCAAAGAAAATTAAGTGAGGAAGAATATGAGAAGTTTGATCACGAACTCACTAGTGCCAGAAAAGCTCTTGAAAACAGAGAAGAAAAGGTAGGAATGATATAGAGGTCCAGTGCATATTATCATCAGTTTTGGAAATTAGGAGAAAGGAGTGCAGGAAATTGTCTTCAGTCAGTGACCCTTAATGTGACTGTTCTTTAATATAATATTTGTGGAAAAAAAAGATTATGGATGATGTGCCATATGCAAAAAACATCTTGTTGAAGTTTTTAATTCCTTTATAGGGAAGCATGTTTTCTGTATTTTAAATTTTTTTTTTTTTTTTTTTTGAATTTTTTTTATATATTTCTGTTTTAGTTAGCAGAGGTGTTCAACACATTAGAGAGCAACCTCAAGATTTTAGGAGCAACTGCAGTTGAAGATCGGCTCCAAGATGGAGTTCCAGAAACTATAGAGGCACTAAGGATGGCTGGTATCAATGTAAGGATTTCTTAAAATGGCATCAAAACATCTAATATAATTACATAAGAACAAGCAACATTTTCCAAGACCAGAGAGGCAGGAAAAGCTATAATCAGCACATATTTACTTTTTATAAGTTCGAAGATATGCATTTTGTTATATCCACTTTGATAATTGTGTTGCTTTACATTTAAACAAAAGATGTCACTGTATTCAAGACAGTCCTGTGTTTACTTTTCAGGTCTGGGTGTTAACGGGGGACAAAGAAGAGACAGCAGTGAATATTAGTTACTCTGCAGGTCACTTTAAACCTGGTGCTCAGTTGTTGAGGTTAACCCAGCTCAGAGAGTGGGAGGAATGCTCACATCTTATTCAGCAGCACAGGCAGGCGTAAGTGTACCTCTAAGTTGACTCTTTTGTAGTTAATGGCGTAAATCGAAAGGCTGTAAGATTGATGGATACTCGTATCTTATTCAGCAACACAAACAGGGAAAAATGAAACTACATTCAGTTCACCTCTTTTTTTAAGTGGAATTAATTTAAAGTGATGTTGATTACTTTTGGTATACCTTAAGTCTGATAATTTCCAGTTAAAAGGTATGTAAAAAAAGCCGGATTCCACACAAATTTTTCATAAACATCCTTTCATATTTTCAGTTTTGCAGTATTTTTCACAGATATTTAATTCTCTTTCTTCCAGTATTGAAAGCAGTTCAAAGGATGAGGAGACATTTGCCCTTGTGATAGATGGCGCTAGTCTCTCTCTGGTGATTCGGACAGAGACCAATCAGGACCAGGAACACAAACAGCGTGGAGATGAGCTACATTCCCTATGCCATATGTGTCAAGCTGTCCTGTGTTGTAGGATGTCTCCTATACAGAAAGCACAGGTAGATTTATGTTTTAGGTCTTTCTGTGTGAAAAGATGTGAGTGTAGCACATCGGCTGATAAGTTGATTGAAGCATAGAAATGTAGAGGATCCCCAAAAGTTGCATTATTTTTATTGCATGTATCATGACTATCTTCTCTTTTGGATAACTTGTACCTCTGATTTTTTAATTGGCATGGGTAACTGAATCAGGACCAGTCACTCAGTTGCATCGGATGTTGTTCCTAACACAGTTAGTATTGTTCTATGAAAATGTTCATTGACAAAAAATCTATTGCAGCACCAAAAGGTTGTACAAGACATCACACCTAACCCATTTGTATTCCATATTACAGATTGTCCAGTTAATAAAACATGGCAAGGACAACCCAGTAACAGCAGCTATAGGAGATGGTGCCAATGATGTCAGTATGATACAGGAGGCCCATGTTGGTCTGGGTAGGTGGAGTTAATTAATTGTCCGTCTTTTCACTTAAATTTAGTATTTGATACTGTTGGTTGGTTGTTCTTATGTGAATTTTTTTTTTTTTTTTTTTTTTGGCTGTGATATAAGTTTAAGTTTGTAATCATTTGGAAAGTAGTTGGAATTCTTAATAACTGATTATTTAGTTGATTGATCTTGTGCTTATTTTGTGTGTTAAGGATTTACCGTTAGTGATAGAACAAAGGAATAATCTAGTATTTATTCCATGTATTTGATTCAAGGTGTAATGGGCAAAGAAGGCCGACAAGCTGTTAGGTGTAGTGACTACGCATTTGCCAGATTCAGATTTTTGATGCGAGCTCTATTTGTTCATGGACATCTGTACTATGTCCGAATAGCCACACTAGTGCAATATTTTTTCTACAAGGTGAGGTGAAAATGAGTTAAACAGAGAAAGAAATAGGCAAGATATCTTTAGTATGTAATATATTTCTATCACAAAGATTAGATATTATGGTCAATAGCTGCTGTACCATAGTGATATTTTCATAGTCAAAATTCTTTCTCTCCAGGGATTTGCGGTAACTTTACAGTTCTTTTAACTGTTTTGGACTTTTTTTTCTATTTTTAGCAGAAGTTTTTGTCCCCACTGCAATCAAATTTGTTTAGTATTTAACAGCATGAATTTAATTATTGGCAGGCTCAGCACACAAAATCTAGTCATAATCAAACATTCGCAAGTCTATGTAAACGCAGAAATAATTTTGCTGATCAGCTGGACAGATTTGTTGTAATGATTTATTGTTGATTTTGTTTTGATAGGGGACATGATTTAGTATATTTCTCCATGTTTTTCTTTCTAGAACGTGGCTTTTATAACGGCTCAGGTGTACTTTGCATTCTTCTCTGGATTTTCTGCTCAGGTAAGTAAGCTTTTGGTTGTGCCAACAACTATGAGTGGTGGACAACTTTAATATTTAACAGTGTGTCTGGTATTACCTTAAATCAGTACTAAGAAGTGATTTACGACATATAATTGTATTTATCATGTCACTTTGTAAAGATGTCCAATCTGTTTGATTGAGGAGTGCTGAACATCTCCCCGGCCCCCTCCTCCTCTACCCCTTCCTCGTGAGCCTTGTTTCAATAAATGAGAGTGTATGACACAACATTGTTTAGGCACCTGCTGTAACCCACCAGTAAGGAAATGCATATTAACTATACAATATTTTCTCCTATTTCAGTCTATATATGACAGTTTCTTCCTGACTTTTTTCAACATCACGTTCACGTCACTTCCTATCCTAATATATGGTCTATTTGAGCAACACATACCACCAGATAAACTGATGGAGATGCCCAAGTTATATAAGTAAGTTTCTGTTTCTTGATCATTATAATCATGATATTTACTCAATACATTGAAACTAAATGAAATGCAACATCACTTCTGCAAAACAATTATTTGTCATTGGTAACATTTCAGTGTTGATTCAAAAGTTTTGACAAGTGTTTTTGGATTCTTACAGGAAAGTACATTTTTATACATAACCAAAAAATACTGATTTTTAAAAAGTAGGATATTAGAATGAGTGAGATGTTTAAATTTAGGCTCCAGAATTTTAAAACAAAAAGTTAATGTAGGTATTAACTTAAAATCCCACGACATATGTACCTCACTAATGAATTGGTATCTATAACTTTTGTATTATCTAAATGCCAGAACAACCAAGAATTATAACAAGATTTCATTGTACTTCAGAAAAATAAGGAAAAATGCCATGCTTTCACCTGGGCAGTTTATTAAGTGGAATCTTCTGGGTAAGGAATTTATTTTTTCAAATTTTCAGACTTATATTAGATTGCTTATTCAATATTTTACTTAACTTATTGATGTAGACAAATTATGTTACATTTTCCATGTCATTTCCCCCCTATTTTAAATGTATTGGACAAGGCAATTTTTCAAGTAACTAAAGTCTAGTTGGTGTTGAGTGGATGTTAAACTACTGTTTTGAAAGGCATTGAAAAAGTGAAGCATGTTCTGTGTTTGATATGTTTATCAAATTTTCGAGTAAATTCTGAATTTGATTTCACCCTTGCCTATGGTTCAAATTTTATTTAAGTTCATTACAATATGCTTGCAAATATTTTATTTTCAAAAAGTCAACAGATATAAAATGATTTCGCAATGTTTATTGTATGTGAGAATGTTCTTGTATTTCAGTTTAATTTTTTTTATTGATCGCATGTTTTGTTTTTATAAATGATTACATTTTTTATTTTTCCTTAGGTATATGGCATTCTGTGGTACTTTTCTTTGGATGTATTTTTATATTTAAAGATGGTTTGCCATTGTCGGGAGACGGAGTGGTATGTATGTTTGTAAATCAATGTGGATGTCATTGGAAATAAGATAAAAAGGCAACTTAGTTCTCAACATGTGGACGTTAGACTAGCTTCATACATCTTACATGTAAAGTAATTGCAGCTTTGAAAACGTTGTGCACGAAATTTCATTTGGCTAGTTTCAAGATTAATGTTACAGTACTAGTATTTTAAGGACAGGGTATTAGGTTGTATGCTTCCTAGATATGCTTTTATGTATTTTTATTATATATATTATTAATAATTATTAATTAAAATTATAATTTTTAATCTTTTGTGAAGGCTTTTTGCAGGAAAACAATTAAACTATATTGGGTTGACTTTGATGCATTTTGTAAATTATCTAAATGAGTTTGTCACATATTGCTCGCAGAATATATTATTTGTACACTAGATTACACTAGATTTTGAATCTGCAGCTCATTTTTATTTGTATGGCAAGCAAATTTTAAGTTATCTCAGAATTGGATTTTTTTCAGCAGATAATATATCAGTTTTGACCTCACAAACCATGTCATTTTAGATGTGATATCACAGCAATACTGTGTAAGTTGTGACATCACAAAACCATATTGTGTTAGTTGTGACATCATAAAACCATGTTGTGGTAGTTGTGACATCACAAAACCATGTTGTGTTAGTTGTGACCACACAAAGCCATGTTGCGTCATTTGTGACATCACACCGCATTNTTTTTTTTTTTTTTTTTTTTTTGTTTTTTTTTTTTTTTTTTTTTTTTTTTTTTTTTTTTTTTTTTTTTTTTTTTTTTTTTTTTTTTTTTTTTTTTTTTTTTTTTTTTTTTTTTTTTTTTTTTTTTTTTTTTTTTTTTCAAATTGATGGATATTTTTCTGAGTGCCCTTCTTCAATTGTCAAAGCTTATGATGGACTGTATACAGCCATGTGGACTATGTGGATATTTATGAATTAAGTTTAGTGAAGAAATTCACTCTCTCACTCTGTTTCTCACTTCTTTCTCTCCCTCTTTCGTCAGAGAATATTTGTTTTGTTTAAGATATCAATAGATCAAGCCTTATATAAACATTTATCTTTTAAATATGCCAAATTATAATTGCCATATCATGGATAATAAGGTGGCATAAATTCTAGGACATTATTACTAACATTTTTGAGCTTATAACATTTACACTGCTTGTATGTTGATATCATTCGAATATATATTTCATAATAAACTTGATTGTTCACCACCATTTATTTCAGCCCAAGACATACTCCACAAACAAACTCTCCATTTCTTTCACAAAACGTTCGGGAAAACTCACCATTTCAACCACCAACATACTGGAGGCCCAGTAACCATAGCAACTGTTGCTAGGTAACATGAATGTACAATTTTTTTGTGAAGTGATTATTTACAGTAATTTCTTTTATGTTGCCTAGATGTCAATTTTAAGTTGGTGTGCAAGTGATGACCCTTCTTTCCTATAGATTTAAGGATTTCTGCCAGTTGTAAAAAAAAAAAATTTAAATAGTACCTATCATTTTGTATCATGTACTAGTTGTTGTCAAGGCATGGAATATGTATCACAGTAACACTTTTTAATGCAGATACATAACAAAATCGCATCATTCCCTGGATTTGTTTCCCCATCTCTTGGCTTGACAACTAACTTATCCTATCTAAGACCTCTTTGGCACATTTTTAAACTAAAACCACTGCAGTGTAGATGCAGTTCCAGAGCAAACATGCCAGCTTTTACTTTCTTTTTCAAATTTTCAAACATACTTGCCTGTCACATTTGAACTTCAGTGACATAAGTTTACTGCTCTATTTACAAAAGCTAGACAAGTTTGTAAACCATGCCATATGTCTTTCTTTGGAACCAGGAGATACAGGTGACTATATCCATGATAAACTCTGTGTTTGAAGTGATGAACTTATATCTAAATATGTAGCTGAATGTCAGTCCAGTTAGGCCGTGTTCACAACAGCAGACTAACTAGTCCGCAGATCAAAAATGGCCCACCCCATCCTCTTGAATGCTTGTTGCGTAATCCCTGTGGGGAATCTATTCAGTGTCCATTAGGGGATTAGAGGACAAGCTTTTAATTGGGTAGCCAAATTTCATCCGCAGACTAGTTAGTCCACTGTTATGAATGTAGACTGCACATACGAAGGTTTGAACATGAATAAGCTGGCATGGCTCAGAACCAAGTAATTGCTGCAGCAATATTAACCTCAGCTGTGAGAGTCTTGATTGCAATTCAAGACAAAATTGTCTTTATATTAACTCTTCAATTTTTACTCAAATATAAATATATTTATTCAACTAAATCATTGATAATCTTTGTAAGACTATCAGGAACACACTGGTGACACATTTTTTACAATGCAAATTTTTTTTTTCACCAAAACTATTATTTTGACAATCATAGATAGAACCTAAAAAATACAAATTTTATTTTTGTATAATTTTAAAGTAACATTTTCTAGTACATGACTGTTTAACAAACAACACATTTTTTATAGAGTAATGTTTAATGCCAGTCTGTGTTAAAGGCTTTTTAGCCTATGTCAGACTAGGGGCCACTTGGGTGTAGGAATCCACTAGTCCAAAGTTAAACAATGCCCAGTTACTGAACATTTTTACAAAATTTTACTGAACCATATTGAATTTTACTGATATGTGGTACTGGCCAGTGTTATTATTGTATACTGGCTAATATGGGTCATCACTGAAAAAAAATTTATTTTTTTATTTTCACCACATTGCTTTGTGTGCAGTGCTTTGATATTAACACCATAATAATTATTAGTAAGATACACATTGGTGAACGGGTACATGTTTCCTTTAGAGCAACAACAAAAAGTTTGCTTTGCATAGATGGCTATCCAATTTTAGCAGGCTAATCTTAGCTCAATAAATATAGACCTTTTGTGAGACGTGTCCCATCTCAAACTTTGATAGCAAAGGACAGTTTGTTAATGTCACAGTGCTTTTTTGCTTAATTTCAGTGTCAGATGCACAGGTGAATTTGGTGAAAGGCACTGAAAAAATTGTTAGCCATTAAGAAACTTTCTTATAATAACTTTCTTCTAATTCAAAAAGTAAAATTTACAATCAAAAGTTGAAAATTTATTTATTTATTTTTTTTTTTTTTGTGACTCCAGTCGTTGAGCATGGAAAAGCTACCAAACACCAATGTGAATCAGAAAGCACTCTTCTAGTTGTGTGTTGCCAAAACATTGAACTCACTTTTAAAAAACCTCTCATTCTCATAGGTACCTACAGTATGACAAAGCACTTGAGTATTGATAATACGTTGTCTTCAAGAGAGACACGTTGTGTAGTGTCTAATTGTTGACTTCAGTATTCTCATTTGTCATCCCAGCTGATAAATATTTCTGCTAAGTAGTTGTATTTGTTATCTCATTTTTGTTTCATCTTCTTTTTTTCCATCCTTTACATCCATGTTGTTGTTGTTGTTGTGTGTAATATTGTGTGCTTGTTGCCTTTATAGATATTATCTAGGATTTAAAGTTCTTTTGTCTGACTACCCATTAAAAAAAAACTTTTCTCAATAGGTGTTGTGGTTTTAAGAACAATGTCTCGTATTGTACTTGAGCTCCAAATTGTGATTATGATATTTTATACAAGTAAGTACCCATAATATTGGGGAGGTACCATGTATGTGAAACTGGTGCGATAAATTGGTGTATTTTTATTGGTCATTTTTATCCTATCACAGATGTGTTTCACCTTATGATGCACAGCATTCAATTTGATACTTGATGTAAAATTTGAGCAAATAGATTTTTTTTTTTTTTTTTTTTTTTTTTTTGTGAATGAAATGTGGCCATACACCCACCCTAAGGTAACTGATAACCCACCTCTAATTCATATATGAGAGCTTGGTCTGACTAAACAGTGACACTTTATGTTGGTTAAATTAATGCAATAAGGAACTTTAAAATATCAACATTCATTGGTTCTTATCCATGAAGAGCAACCAGAGTTAGAGAGGTGACTATGCTAGGCTAGGTCAGTTTGTGAAAAGTAAAGCTAGAAATGTCTTCTTCATAATTTGCTTGATCATGTAACAGGTGATGAAAGCAACCAAGGCTCAGTCTTAAAGCTTATCAGCTTTGCAGCGTTTGCTGGGATGATTTACTAGGTTTGTCAAGAAAAATGTTGGAACAGGCTTAAGGCTGTTTGGTATATTTCATTAATTTAACGTTGCTTTGGTAAAATTGTAACTTAAAGACTGCCTTATGCTATGATGGGGTTTCATATGATCACTCCTTTAAAGAAAAGATTGACAGTTCTCAGCTTTATGTACCATGTGTATTGACAGAAAGTGCAGTAACTTTTTGTAAGATTCAATTTTAAACTTGAAATGATCAACTCCAAAGCATTAGATTTGTTCCAATTTCAAAAATCTCCTCAGTCAAATAAAAAAAAAGAAAGAATTGCCAGCTATAAATATTATGATATGATAATTATAATAACCTTTTGGATAACAGTATCTTATAAAAAAATAAACTTCTCCTTAAATCTATACTAAATGTTGCTGTGTTAATTAATAATATATAACAGGCATGTAGTGATAATAGAAAGTTCTAAAATATTGTGACATAGTGTGTAGATCAGTTCTTAATATGACTTTTAATATTTCTTCTAGCTTGTAGCAGCTTGGGTGCCTCAATTTCTTCCAAGCTTTAGATTTCCAACTAGTAATATTTCTCCCATGAAAGTTTATTACATTATCACTGCCATTAAAGGTAAAGGGGTGATTTGTTGAAATATATGAAAATTTTTGAATTCCCAGTGTCAATATCATTTGACACATTCAAAACAATGAATTCAAACAAGATTTTTTTTCTTGAAATTCTGGTTGCCTTTATTGAAATCTGTTATAAACCTCTGTGAGTTATCTTCAACTGTTGGGATTACTTTCCTGAAAATTTTTTTCGTACAAAAGCTGATGAAGTGTAAATAGTTTAAATATTGTATATTTTAGTAATAATTTGGCTATCAGCCACAAAACATCTTTGAATTGTTTTGATTCGACAAATTTACCTCTTCCGCCTTTAAATAAACTTTGTCAGCTTGCACATTATGTAGACATTGACAAAAGTTAATGAGAGTTTGCATATTGTTGCACAATCTGAATATATTATGCATGACAGTAAAAGAGAAGTCAATCTACAATATTATGCGAAAATGAATATAAAATGATATATTTTTTTTAAAAGATTATTATTCCACAGTTGTCTTGTCGTCTCTTGCACTGTGTATCCATATATAATCCACAGCTTGAATGATAATATTTTAATAAGTTTTATTTAATTTCACATTAAATTTCATATGTGAGCACTGTACTGTGTGTGTTCTCCCATTTCAGTTCGGCGTATTATTGATTGGGTAAGTAGAATAGAGAAGATGCATGTAGAAACTCTCACAGTGAAATGGTAGCATGGACTGTCTGTTGCTAACTGCTGCAACTTTATTGCTGCTTTTATAGAATGCTGTGTTAGTTGTGCTCTCAAAGCTGAACTGTCTGAAGCTCAGTATTAGAGTCCCCCTTTGCAAACATGCATGCACTCGCAAAATGTAAAATACGGCATAATACTATATATATTTATACCATTTCATGTCCTATAGTATATCTCTTTCACATATACACACCCACATACATACAGACATATACATACATACATACATACATACATACATACATACATACATACACCCACATACGTACACATATATACAAACGTACGCATATGTCATAGTTAATAGTTACCATTTCTAGTCGGCAGTATCTCCCTCTTTCATACACACACACTTGCACACACACACACACACACACACACACACTGTACTAGCTCAGATTGTCTACTGCTTGGCTGGAAACTAGCTGATGATTGGCGTTGCATCAAGTAGGCTCATTTTTACCATCACTGATGTCGAGACCAAACGATGCAAATGTGGTGTATCTTACATACACAAGCTACGCATGAATATGAGTTACACCACATCTGGTTATTTTCTTGTCGACATCTGTTGTGGTATGATTCAGATAAACCATTCATTAGCAAGGTGTGTCTGATGTCCATTTTTGTATTTCACGTACTCCTTGCTGAAGAGTGGTGTAAATATTTTGCATAAACCTATTGTGTGTTCAAATTGACAAGCTAATATAACCTAGTTCTGCTCATTGAATGATTTCGCTGGTGTCATCATTGTACTTTAATAACAACATGGTCTTCAGCTCAGCAGTAGCCTAACTGAGCACTGCATCACGTCACAAAAATAGCTCTCTGCTGAGTTGGAAACCGTATAGTTACTTCAGCCAAATGATGACATCAGTAAAACTAGTTCAGATTTGGTTTTAAATAACTAATTTTTTGTCAGTGTGTATACATCTGTTAGGCAAGTCTGTTGTCATCTCTTTTTGTCTTGTCAAAATGTGATGTCAGTATATGAGTAGGAAATTAATATAAAATGAAATCACAATCATTTAAGTGTTCATATATTATAATCTGTTCAGTTTTGATAATTGAAATAGTAACATTCAAGTTAAATTTGATTTAATACCATATTGTTTGCAATATTAGGCAGTCATGTGATTCACTCAAGCAGATCAATGGATTTGACAGTAATTAAAAGAAACTGGAGATTACATTTGGATAGTATGTAGAGCAAAAATGGTGTTAGTAGCATGATTTCAAAACTGTCAGAAAACATTCTTGATCACATCATGCTGCCCTCTTTTGGTAAGAAAAGAAATCAAAATTGACCTTGGTGACTTTTACTAATGTACTTTTTTATGATTTTTATTAATTAAAAAATATAAAACAATACATATTATATTAAAAAATATAAAAACATATCTGTAACTTCTACAGTATCTAGCGTAGGTCCTTTGCTTTGTTTAAATCTTCATAACAAAATCGATGATGATGTTAAGATGATATTATTAGCCAATTTAATGCCTAAAACACTAATATAGCAATTATCAAGTGTGACCTGATATAAACTATCATTTCAAAATATCTTATATCACATACAGCGAATTACAAGATACTGAATGCATTACTTGTTAAACATAAAAAATGTGAAAACATCTGTAACTGTTCTTCATAAAATATAAATATATATACACAGAAAGTTAATATGTATAAGGTAAAAAAGAAAGAGAGAAGGAAAGTAGAAAAAAGAAAACAAACATCCCTTAACTTACACATTTGAAGTTGGATGAACGTGTAGGGAGATATGAAGACATATGCATGTGTATAAGTCATTACAGTGATGAAATATTTTAATTACCAGCTTTGGTTTTATTCTTAGACTATAATAAATATGAAACTATTTTGATAAGGAATTTGTAATAAGTAGTGTGAATTGTATAATACAGCTCTGTCTTGTCTACTTTTCTTAACTTATCAACTGGGAAGTTCCATCTACCCCTCCCAAGGCGAATTGCTCTGTAAACTGGTACCATGGAATATGTGTCTCTACTTTGTTGCTTTATATTTTCCATGGACCTAGGATACTGCTTTTATTACTACCATGACTAGTGGCATCATCTTTGTCATTGCTATTATTTCATGTGGATCTAGAGAGGGCAGTGGAAAATGCAATTACCACCCTTAAGTATTACTGGAACATCCCTTTGGACATGCTGCTTGAAGCTGGGAGACAAGTCACGCTTTTCATCACCTGTGACTCTCTTCTCCTGCCAACCCCCACAAAATAATCTCCTGAATATATCACTGATCATAAAAACTACCATTAATTATATATTATTTAAGGAAGTTTAAGCTCTGTAGATGCTTTCAACTAGGGAGGAGGCAGTGCTTCGGACCTGGTCTTTCCACTCTTTCAGCACACCAACTGAGATCTGACGCTTCCAATGGTGATATGGCTCAGCTATCAGATATACCTTTCAAGGTGGCATTTTTCTCTTTATCATTGTCAAGTTATAGAATGATTAAGTCATTGTATTTGCTTATTATTTTTTATTTGTATTTTTGTTTGCTTTGTTAGGTACGCGCCTTATCAGGATCAGACACCAGTTATTTCATAGACCAGGATGTAGAGAACATTCCGCTGAACAATCCACAGGGGCCAGTGCAGCCAGTGAAGTTTACACCAAGACCTGGAAGTCTGAAGAACAGCGGTGAATCCATTTAGTCATTATTTAATGTACACCACTGAATTTTCACCTAGCCAGTAAGTTCCATGCAAGCCTGAAGAGCACCTGGTTTGCTGATAGATGTAGTTTTTATATACCTCCCACGAGAAGACATAAATTGTTAGACATCAAGTTTTGACTGAGCTGTTATGAAGTAATACAAAGCCCTTATAGTAGCCATTAATATTTAGACACTGCAGACATAGACCTTAGCAAAAGTCACTGCACTGCATGAGCATTGGTCTCCTCTTTGGTCATCCAAAAGTGGCTGGTTCATAGCATGAGAAATTGAATTTTGACTTAGAAGAGTTGCTCAATAAATGCGTCACGTTAGCAGCAAAACTAGTTAAACATGGAGACAGTCAGGACAATTTGCTCAGAGTGAGAAAGAGACAGATATACTGTTGAACTCTGTTGTATTCTAGTCACTTTGAAGACTCCTGTGTGGCGTCAGTGACACTGGAATTTTATGGGATGATAATACATTTAGTTGAATAGGTCCAAACAGAGTTATTAGTGAGTGTTACATATCCATTGAACCAAATATTTAAGGTACTAGTTAAGGGATCAGCAAAGTACTAGTAGACCAATGCAAGTAATATACTTGGCCAAACTGTTTTTGTTGTACGAATTTGAAAAATGATGATTTATGAATCTACACTGCAGATAGCCAAGTAGTTATATGTGTGAAGCAAAACACACCAAGTAGATATAAAGTTAAAATAAATAATTCTGACATGTGAGCATTGCCAGTCAAAATGCAAGTTTTGATTTTTTTTTTTCAGTTATATTTTTTAAAGCCACAACAGATGAATTTTAATATCCAGTCCTCTATGAACTTTTCAGTCATGATATGCTTAACATTGTCAAGGTTAAGGTTACATAATGATATCTGTAAAAATATTTTATAAACTTTAGTATCATTGGTGTAATAATACCCAAAGAAATAACAGGTACAGTTTGACTGCGAGATTTGTAATGAATATAGTTTTAATAGAAGGTTAATTTATTTAGAAATGAACAACTAGTTTTTAGATAGCTGTGTATATTGAGCAAATGACTTATAAAACTTACACATTCCATGATCCTTAGCAACACCATGTTCTTCATCTTATGCAACAATTATGTCTGGGACATATAAAGACAAACATTGTGAGACGAGTATTTTCATATTACCACCTAGTTATTTTCATGAGTAAATGTAGTTTTTTATAACTGTTCCATTTAAATCTATTGCTTTTCTTGCAGCTGGATGTCATTTTTTTCTTGAATTATTGTCACAAATGTGGTTGCTCTTCCTAAGAAAGTTGAATTGTTCTGGTTCAGGACCAAGATGATGACTTCCAGTAATTTTTTTTTCTTATTGGCAAAAATCAGAATACTTTCCCAAAGTGTGCTGCTTTCTAATGAGAATCCTTCCCTTCATACACTGCTGACTTAATGCTGCTGATTTTATTGCTTTATTCAGTTCTGAGCAATCATCAGTACCAAATGCTACAATTGTTCATTTATCTATGCTGCCAATTGTTTTAAGGTATTATTAATTGTATTGTTGATAACATGGTACATTGTGTATTTGCATTTTGTACACTGGATTAACAGCACTGGACAGATATGGCTTTTGATTACTAGGATTTGGAGTCATGTTCCAAGTCATTATTTGGAGTCACTTTCCAAGTCATTGCTCTATTAGGAACACTGAACATCAACCTCTTAAAGTGTGACATAAACACAGAGTGCTAGGTTTTTGGCCCTTTCTGAATGATTTAAGTTAGAATATATGATGACAGTTTAGAATAGAGAATCATTTAACAATTGGAGGAACCCAGCTCAGTTGCTCTTCGTAATTTTAATCCAGATAAATGGTTTTTTGTGCAGTTAACAAGTTGATTTCATGATTTACAAGGTTTAATGTTAAACATTGCATCCATGTTAAACATGGAATTGTACATGTTTACCTATTGTAAATATGATAATTCTGCTCTATTTTAATAGATTAAAATTAAAATCTAGAGATTAAAATCTCTCCTACTAATTTGTGCACTTCTTGTCTTACAAGTGTGATTGTTACGCTAAGAGGAAGCCAGACCATATTTTTCATCAGCGAAAATTTTAAAGTTTGAATGTTTTTGTGATATAGCCTGACCAACAAATCCAATGCAAAGCAGAATTGTGAGTTTTTTTGATAAAATTTTATGGAACATGTGCCACTGTTATGAAAGTGACTGTATTGGTAAAGCCAATTGTTCTTTTTGTAAACAATATTTCAAACATTTTTTTCAGCATAAGTTACGTGAATTACTTGGATACTTATTTTGGAGAAGATTATTGTATTAGAACTTTAAAAAAATTGGTAGAACTTAGTAAAATTGTTAGTCTTTTCTGTTGAGCATTATTTCTAACTAAATACAGCATTCAGGGAAGACAGTTGTATTTAATGTCAATTAATTATTTAGTTTTCAGTTCTGTTTTAATTAGTTGTCAGTTCAAGAATATACATTTGTTATGCAAATGCTGGATAGATCCAAATTCTTTGTTTAAGATTAACATTATATCTAAATAATTTTGTTTGTATACTAAAACAAAGCTTTGGTAGAGATAGAAGCATAGTAGAAATTTCTTACAGTAAACTAGACAAAATTATTTGATAAAGTATTTAGGAAAATGATCTGTATGTGTGAGTGCACCATGACACTTGATTTTATTTATTTCTGGTATTTAGACATTGTAAACATCTTTGAGCACAGTGATATCAATTTTAGAAAAATATGTAAAAACTTAATAAATAAGCTGCTGATCACATTTTAGAAATCATGTCATTGAACCAGTGCAACAGCAAGGATATGTTGATTGAAATATGTTATTAATTGTATAAAGGCTTTATTTTAAGTATATATAAACAAAGCTTAAAGTCTAAGATCCATTGTATATTTTACTTAATATTACGATTTTTTTTCTAAATATTTAGTATAAGACTGTGTGTCACAGTTGGATTTTTTTTTTTTTTTTTCATTTGTTTGCAGTGTATTGTTATATTCTTATTAATTTTCAGAACATTTTGATTATAAAAGGAGAAGGTTGATTTGAATAAGGGACCATTCATGGGATTTTGATATAAACGTAAATATTAACAAATAAGATCAGCAATTTTCTAGTGTTAAAAAATATGGACCATCACTGTATTTACTTTAAGCCAAGTTTGCAATTACAGTCATTTTAACTTTTCTTAAAAATTAAAAAAATAAATATATATTTTAGGAGCACAAGTAGTCCTTTTAGCATTAGAATAAATGACAAACATTTCTTTTAAAATATACTGAGGTATCTCCAAAAGAAAAAAGGAAGAAAATTAATATCAACATAAATCCCATGAATTCTCTTGTACATTTCCATTTACACCATTGCTATTTTCACAATTTTTATTTAAATGTTTGTTTTATGAATTTCAATTTATTCTGTGAATAAGATCCAAGTCTTATTATTATTTTATTTATTTATTTTTTTTATTTTTTTTTTTTTTTGCTTTGTTTCTAAATTGAGCCATAATCAGAAGTATGAAACTATTCATAACTATTAGAATTGACATTAGTTAAGACATGCAAAATGTAGTCAGATTTATGAAAGAAGTATAAAAATCGGAAAAAAAAGAGTAGTAAAATGTCAAGTTTAAAAAGATACAAAAATTATGTAGATCACAAACAGTTATCTTCATTGTACAGGTCACGGCTTTTCATCACAGATGGCAGATTTAAAGGATTTTCAATAAAATTATTTTCAAATTAGTTAAAATTAGCCTCTTTTCTCATATTCTGTTCACCTAGGACATTTAAATTTTATTAATAAGGCAAAATTTTTGATACAGGAGACTGAATAACTATTCACCTCACTACTTATCATTACCTCATAACGAATAATGCTTAGTTTATATTGAACATCTTGTTGAAAGTTGTTGTTTTTTTTTTTTTTTTTTTTTTTTTTCTGGAACTGCAGCTTCAGATTAAAACTTCAGTGTTGGCGCAGAAACCAATTGACGTATACGGATATGATGATTGTGTTAGATTGTGCGAGATGTTATGACGTAAATGTGTGAAGAGAGTTCAGTTGGTCATTTTTAGCTTGCAGCCATCTGCAACCGAAACGTGAGCGAAACAAGTGTATTTTCCAACAGTATGGTTTAATAAGAATTGTATTTTGGTATTTTGAGAAGAGATTTCTTAAAGAAACGCCAAATATGAAGACAGTGACATCGCTTATATCAATGTATAGGCAAAATTGTTTTTCAATTAAAATTGCGACCGACGTCGCGAAAAAACATGACTGAAAAGGCTCTATGCGCGGCTATAATCGTCATTTGCCCTGTTTTATTTCTTTGATGTGCTCATTCCGCATTGTTGTTCGGTGTGTGCTACAAGTATAACAATGTATTAAGTATCCGAAATTCACCTTACAACACCAGTAAGTACCAGTAGATCACACCTACCAACTGATAAGTTGTAACGCATCACGATCGTTGTGCGAAGTCTCATAATTTTATTCTTTAGATGATTTAACTTCGAGTTGTCATAATTTCCACATAACATAAAACTAGTCCACCTATTACACTGGGATACCCACTAATGCCGTGACAAGCAGTGCTATGAAAATTGTTTCCATCTAAAATTCCACTGGCAAGGTTCTATTGAGAACTACTGTAAAAGCACCTTCATTAACTCATTAATTTAACTCAACATACATTCAGGCAGAACTCGTTTTAACAGGAAGACCTAAAAAGTTACGATATCTTAAAATCGTAAATACATCTGAGGAAAAAATACATTTCTAGGAAAACATTCTAAAGACCAGCTTTGATAGGTTGCTGCAGCTTACTGGTACTGTTTATTGTTTTTACAAATTCATTTCAGGGTGATATTAAAGTTAGGTAGTCAGGCAGGTGGTGTGAAGCATAACATTATTGTTGTTCGAAGACGGGAGTCCCTTCACTGTGCCCTTCTCCGCATACTGGATGATGTCATAGTTTAGAGTGTCAACGACGCTTGTGGACGGTTCGCTGAAAAACCCAGCGTCGGCATAGGCCTGCAACAAACCCGCGGCTGCACCGGCGACGAGAGGGGACGCCATTGACGTCCCATCAAGCTCTACTGAGCCGTGCGTGCTCGCGTAGTAGGCGCCCCTGATCTTCCTCCCTGGAGCGTAAATGTCAACGCACGGTCCGATGTTACTAAACGGAGCCAAGTAATCATCTATTTGGGTAGCGCCAACTGTAAGCGCTCCGCTTACGCTTGCTGGGGATACATTACACGCATATAGGGAAAATAATAAAAAAATGTTTTAGATCGACTTACAAGATCTATTACATAATTATCATCATTCTTAATATATTTTATCCAAACATTTCACGTTTCATAATCTTAAACGTCATGGAAAGCCTTGTTGAAAGCATTCCCTTTTTATGCAAGTCAAAGCCTAGCTTTTGACTGTGAATTTAACCTTGATCTTGATTTTTATGATCCCATACAATTAGTGAGTTTATGTAGGCTAGGCAGTTAACATAGGCACCAAAAGAAGATTTCTTTTTTAAAATTACATGAAATATTTATATTTATTTTTTAAAAAATCCCATAAATAGGCGGCCATGTTGTTTTTTTGGGAGGGATTCTGGGACGGAGTACAAGGTTTATATGCATAAGTATGACAGAGAGTCATCACATGCATAATTTGGTGCTTTATTCACAGTGTCACGATTTGACCATTAAATCACGCTGGTCTGCAGCTTGGTGTAAAGTATTAATACCGCCGATAGCCTCGCATGGAGACACCTTGGAGACACGCTTTGGACTTCGAATTTAACCTTGTTCTTGATTTTTGTGATCCCAAACAATCAGTGAGTATATGTAGGCTAGGCAGTTAAAAGAGGCGCCAAAATAAGATTTCTTTTTCAAAAATTACATTAAATATGTATATTAATTTTTTTAATCCCATAAATAGGCGGCCATGTTGAGTTTTGGGAGGGGGAGGGACTACAAGACTGATAAGTATAAGTATGACAGAAAGTCATCACATGCATAATTTGGTGTTTTATTCACCGTGTCACGATGTGACCTTTAATTCACGCTGGTCAGCAGGTTGTTTTAAAATATTAATACAGCTTATGCCAAGCATGGAAATACCTCGAAGACACGCGATGGATCAATTTTCTAGAATGTCATTTTTGGAATATGCGTTTGTTTCATTAAGTATTCACCAAAGGAATCTGCTTAAGTTGTACTGATAAAGGTAAATCAATGGTGTATATAAGAAAATCGGTATGATATAAGTTATTAAGTATGGCCACTTTGCCCATTGATTATTTTTACGAAATGTGGGCAATCAAATGAATGCTATTTAAGTTCATCGTGTTAACTGCAGTCGTTTTCCACTACTTTCACAGAATAACAGAGAAAGTTTGCGAGAGCTACAATGATCGTTCTCTTATGGGATATCCACACTAAATGCTTTTTAAGCCGATAGTTGAATATAATTTAAAGACAAACCATTTAGAGTGAATTAAAGGTAGTTCACTAATGGCACCTTGCGAGAATTTTTTTGAAAAATATGGCAGATGTTTTATATCGACTTGCAAGTTCATAACTTTTACATAGTTAGCATAAGTAATTTAAATTTATCTAAATTATTCATCAGACACTCAGGAATTCGTGAAGAAATTTTCAATTATTCGGGAAGAATCACAATACTAAACAGGTTAACTTAAAACTTAAAAAATGTAAGAACTTAATAAATAAGCTGCTGATAACATTTTAGAAATCATGTAATTGAACCAGTGCAACAGCAAGGGCATGTTGATTTAAATATGTTATTAATTGTATAAAGATCCATGTATATATTTTACTTACTATTATGAATTTTTTTCTAAATATTTAGTATAAGACTGTGTGTCACAGTTCGATTTTTTTCATTTGTTTGCAGTGTATTGCTATATTCTTATTAATTTTCAGAACATTTTGATTATTAAAGGAAAAGGTTGATTTGAATGAGGGACCATTCATGGGATTTTGATATAAACATAAATATTAACAAATAAGACCAGCAATTTTTTATTGCTAAATATGGACTATTACTTTAGACTTTTATTTACTTTAAGCCAAGTTTGCAGTTACAGTCATTTTAACTTTTCTTAAAAATTAAAAAAAAAAAAAATTAGGAGCACAAGTAGTCCTTTTAGCATTTCCTTTGAAATTTACTGAGGTATCTCCAAATGAAAAAAGGAAGAAAATTAATATCAACACAAATCCCATGAATTCCATTTACATCATTGCTATTTTCACAATTTTTTATCAAAATGTTTGTTTTGGTGACTTTCAATTTATTCTGTGAATAAGATTCAAGTCTTTTTATTTTTTGTTTTGTTTTTGCTTTGTTTCTAAATTGAGCCATAATCAAGAGTATGAAACTAATCATAAATATGAGAATTTATATTAGATAGGATATGCATAGTCAGATTTATGAAAGAAGTATAAAAATCGGGGAAAAAAGTAGTAAAATGTCAAGTTAAAAAAGATAGAAAAATTATATAGATCACAAACAGTTATCTCCATTGTACAGGTCATGGCTTTCCACCACAGATGGCAGATTTAAGGATTTTCAATAAAATTATTTTCAAATTGGTTAGAATTAGCCTCTTTTCTCTTGACTGAAAAGGCTCTTTGCGCAGCTATAAGTCGTTGTCATTTGCACTATTTCATGTCTTTGATATGCTCATTCCGCGTTGTTGTGTGTGCTAGAAGTATAACAATGTTTTAAGTATCCAAAATTCACCTTACGAAACCAGTAAGTACCAGTAGATCACACCTACCAACTAATAAGTTGTAACTCATCACAATCGTTGTGCGAAGTATTGTATTTTTATTCTTTAGATGATTTAACATCGAGTTGTCATAATTTCCACATAACATCAAATTAGTACACCTATTACACCGGGGTACCCACCAATGCCGTGATAAAGACCACATTCTAACATCCCCTTATGTGAAACTTTAAAATATAGAGTCTCAAGGAAGACAGATTGCAAGATGCAATGTACCCAGTATTGGCTTATCAGGCCTTTTGTAAAATTCTATAAATGTATAACTTTTGGGTGCATGTTTTGATTCTTTGGCAGTTAAATTACTAGACAGAAATAAGATGGCATCTCGTGTGCAATATACAGCTTGCATTTAATATCCCAAATAGGGAATCGCGTTTAAGTAACACTTCTCTGTAAGAGTTGTCCTTGTCAGGACAATACAAGTGCAAGCAGGCCAAGCAGCTGTTGCTCATTGGAAAATAACATATGACATGCAAAAGCTTTGATATTATCAATTTCCCCTCTTTTTAAATCGGTTTGTTTCCGAAAAGCTAGTGCTATGAAAATTGTTTCTGTCTAAAATTCCGCTGGCAAGGTTCTATTGAGAACTACTGTAAAAGTAACAGCTTCCCGTTTAACTCATATTTTAACTCAACATACCATCAGGCAGAACCCGTGTTAACAGGAAGACTTAAAAAGATACGATATCTTAAAATCTTAAATAAATCTGAGGAAAAAATACATTTCTAGGAAAACATTCTAAAGACCAGCTTTGATAGGTTGCTGCAGCTTAAAGGAACTGTTTATTGTTTTTACAAATTCATTTCAGGGTGATATTAAAGTTAGGTAGTCAGGCACGTGGTGTGAAGCATAACATTGTTGTTGTTCGAAGACGGGAGTCCCCTCACTGTACCCTTCTCCGCATACTGGATGATGTCATAGTTTAGAGTGTCAACGACGCTTGTCGACGGTTCGCTGAAAAACCCAGCGTTGGCATAGGCCTGCAACAAACCCGCGGCTACACCGGCGACGAGAGGGGACGCCATTGACGTCCCATCAAGTGCCACTGAACCGTGCGTGTTCGCGTAGGAGGCGCCCCTGATATTTTTCCCTGGAGCGTAAATATCGACGCACGGTCCGATGTTACTAAACGGAGCCAAGTAATCGTCTATCTGGGTGGCGCCAACAGTGAGGGCTCCGCTTACGCTTGCCGGGGATAAATTACACGCATTGGCCTTGCCGTCATTTCCAGCGGCAACTACCACTGGAATGCCTGCATCCAATACCGCGTACACGGCGTCATTGAGATAAGAGGAGTACCCACCACCCAGTGACATGTTAATGATTGACAGACGCTTGTTTTGTTGAACCCGTGACTTTATCCAGTTCAGTCCTGCCAGGATGTCCGAGGTTGGACACCTTGTCCGGGAGCACACCTTGACGGGAATAAGGTTCACCTGCTTGGCTGCTCCATAGGTGTCGCCGCCTAAGGTACTGGCCACATGGGTACCATGACCATGGGTGTCTCTGCTATCGGAGAAAGAACTCGCGTGCCATCCTGGAAAAACAACAAAGAACTCTGATGAGAACCGTCTTCTTTCTGATTCTTGTCTTGTGCCAGGTCATCCTCTCCCTCTCTCTCTCTCTCTCTTCTCTCTCTCTCTCTCTCTCTCTCTCTCTTGTAATTACAGTTTAATGTCACTTACCTGATGACACTCTTCCTCCGAAGTCAACGTGATCAGGATTTATTCCAGTGTCCATGACGTATGCGTCTATACCAGAGCCGACCGCCCAGGTGGTAAAACTGTCATCATCCCTTTCGTCGTCTATTCGGTCTAAATTCTGCATCAAAAAGGAAGGAAGCCGTATTTAGAAAAAGTTCATTTTCTACTTCCGTAAGTTAAGGCGGCTGTTTTCTCGCCGTTGGTTTGTCTTTTTGTTTGTTTGCTTTTGGATAAAAAATCTTAAAAACATGACTTAAGAGTTACGTGGGAGTTAAAGAAGTGATGACAATTTCCAGTTTATCCGGACCTCCGATCTCCTAATAATACTATGTAAAGGCAGCTTTTCAGTAATGATATTTTGTCCTAGACGGGAGCCGGCAGTCTTTTTTTATATCTTTTATTAAGACACATTTACCATACGAAAAATGACTCATAATCATTGACACTCGCTCAGGAACATACATATTTGTGTACAACCTCAAACATACACATGCACGCACATAACATTTACCCATGTGTGAGATGCTGGAAAAGGTCCTGCACAATAAGATCCATCAATCGACATTGCTTTATCTTGTTCGATTTCCGCAATGACGTCAGTAAGCTGGCGAAGCTGTTGAAGATCACTATTAAAAATCAGAAGTACTTGCAACAGTAACAACTGACAAAAATCCGAACAAACTATGCATATCTGAAAAAAATTGTGTGGGATTTTTTCCCATAACAAACTTATCAGAGAATTGTAAGATATCATATCTATAAAATGATGTTGGATTAAAAAAGATTACCCCAAAGCGTTATGAAAATCACAAAAAAAAAAAAAAAAATGAAGACCAAATTTCAAACTATGATGATTACGTTAAAAAATAACGGTCATTAAAATCAAAACTATTTTTTTAAAATCAAAAGGACATCCGTTGAAAAATAAAATACCTTTCTTTTATACCCTTAAGTATGGCGTATCTGCTTGTTCTAGTGAACTTTATGAACTTTGCTTTTTGATAAGAACCACTTCCTTTCAGGATGCTACGAACTGTAAGAGATGTAAAATTGTAACTATATAATGTATGCGTATGATAAATATTGCTTTTGAAATGAACGTTCAGCAGGCGTTTTTATTTTCATGACACTTCTAGACCTCCCTGTTGGGAAAATAATCATATACATGTACATGCTTGTACTTAATCTATACTAACTGTGTCTTTGGCATATTGACCATTCCACCAATAGTATATTATAGTTACTTGTAAGTACGGGAATTAAAGTTTTAAATTCTAAATTGAATAAATGCAGAATCATTTTTATTTATTTTTTAATGACATAATTTTTAAACAATTCCATTGGCTGGTGCACCTACTTTTTCCATACTCTCCTTCTGGCAAAAGATGGGCAATATACTGGTCAGGAACAGCCGTACCATCTGTGGCGGTTATCAGCGGCACTAAAATGCAAGGTGGTAATTTAAATAAGTGATAAATGGATTATAAATGAATAATGACGCACGAGATTTATGACTTCCAAATATGGTGGCGCCTCAGGCAAAATTTTGCCGAAGAACCCTCCAGGTTGACGCTAGTAACTAGAGTTTCGTAGTGCTGATATGGGTTATGTATGAAATCAAGATCGAGCTGGCAATACGGAAATCTAGATCCTAGGGTAGCGACACTAGATACGCAACATAACTGAAAAAAGGCGATACTCAATAATGTATGTGATTTTAATAGGTCGCATACCAGATCTTTTAAATGCAAGGTAAGGATACAATTAAAACTTTGTTGGTGGTACAAAATAATGAAAATCACAATATGCCCTGCAGTTTATAAATGGAAATGTCTGAAGCAATATGAATATTCATGCTTCATGTAAAGAAAGAAAGAAAAAAGAAATGGAACAAACCCTTATTTCAAATATCAACATTATTAACATTACCTAAGCCCTCTTCCTCGGAAATATCTATCAGTCCTTTTGCCTTCATCATCCTTCTCATTTCTGCGGGGTTTTCCCTCTTCAAGTTCTGTAGTCTTTGGTTCTCAGGAATTTTGTCCATCTTTAACTCCAGCACGGATGGTTTCTTCTCTGGCTCATTGGCATACGCCAGCTCTAACGCTACAAGCGTAAAAAACACGAAGGCGAGAAACGCAGGCAATTTCATGATTGCGGTTTTTCACCCAAATTTGCCGTTTCACCTTTGTCAGCTTTGAGGAATGTATTCAACCTGCTCAAAGCACGGTTCGTTGATCTGTTCTTTCACCAAGTACGAGATTCGGCCGAATCCGTCTACGCCAAAGCTTAGGAATCAGTCACTTTTGTACACATTCCAAAGTCACCTTGATAAATAAAACACGAACACACGTGTGGTTTCATTACATAAAATGGAGGGAGGCAGGACCTTAAATATGATATCACTTGTTACAGCCGAGCATGTGTTGAATATTCGTAAAAGCAGAGAAGATTTTGGTACCAAAATGTACTCGCACTCAATAACAATAATAATAAGTGAATGTTTTATGTCGACTAAGAGAATCAGGAATAGATATCAATCGAATCCAGGAACTTACGTGGTAAGATGTAAACGACATTGCAGTCTAACCCTGACCTAGATTGACCGGTCACCTGATTTATTGATAAACTAATGAACTCCAAAACTCGGCGATTGTCCTTCACACATAGATACTGATTACCCAATATATCAGAAGGATTTCACCATTCCTGACCAGGAGAAGAACTTGGGCAAAGTTGGCTTCAAAGAAAGCTATTTAGGAGAAGGTGGAAAATAATACACTGAGGTCAAAGGTTTGACCTCTCAAACATTTGGGGTGGAGCCCCTGACTTCCACTTTAATTTAATTGTACTGAATTTTGGTGTAACAATTTCCGTTATCGAATTAATTAATGTATGGGCTCCGACATGACTCCAGATCAGACTCGGTCTTCCACTTAACGTGCACAGTGCACAGAGAAGCATAGTAGAACAACCTCAAATCTTCAGTTCTAAATCTAAAGTGTATAGATAATATGTACAAGAATTCAGATTTTATACACATTATCTACAGGGGAATCTTTGATTGCCAGTGGCTGCTACTTATTTATATGCTTATCAGTGTGCAATATTAACAGGTGATGCATCTGTCTCAGGCATATGTATAGGCCCCTACAAATAATAACATGTTGACTAACTCTGATTACACAATGTGGAATTTGTGCAGGATTCCACGCCCCGGAGAATATACCTTCAGTAAATAAGTCCATATAGGGAAAATAAAAAAAAATGTTTTAGATCGACTTACAAGATCTATTACATAATTATCATTATTCTTAATATATTTTATCCAAACTTTTCACGTTTCATAATCTTAAACGTCATGGAAAGCCTTGTTGAAAGCATTCCTTTTTTATGCAAGTGAAAGCCTAGCTTTTGACTTGAATTTAACCTTGATCTTGATTTTTATGATCCCATACAATCAGTGAGTATATGTAGGCTAGACAGTTAATATAGGCACCAAAAGAAGATTTCTTTTCAAAAATTACATTAAATATTTATATTTATCTAAAAAAAATCCCATAAATAGGCGGCCATGTTGTTTTTTGGGACGGGTTCTGGGACGGAGTACAAGGTTGATATGCATAAGTATGACAGAGAGTCATCACATGCATAATTTGGTGTTTTATTCACCGTGTCACGATTTGATAATTGATTCACGCTGGTCTGCAGCTTGTTTTAAAAAATTGATACCGCTGATAGCCTCGCATGGAGACACCTTGGAGACACGCTTTGGACTTCGAATTTAACCTTGTTCTTGATTTTTGTGATCCCAAACAATCAGTGAGTATATGTAGGCTAGGCAGTTAACAGAGGCACCAAAATAAGATTTCTTTTTCAAAAACTACATTAAATATGTATATCTATTTTTTTAATCCCATAAATAGGCGGCCATCTTGTTTTTGGGAGGGATTCTGGGACGAACTACAAGACTGATATGCATAAGTATGACAGAAAGTCATCACATGCATAATTTGTTGCTTTATTCACCGTGTCACGATTTGACCTTTATTTCACGCTGGTCAGCAGCTTGTTTTAAATTACTGATACCGCTAATGCCAAGCATGGAAAAACCACGAAGCCACGCGATTGATCAATTTCCTAGAATGTCCTTTTTGGAATATGCGTTTGTTTCATTAAGTATTCACCGGAGGAATCTGCTGAAGTTGTACTGATAAAAGTAAATCAATGGTGTATATAAGTAAATCAGTACGACACTAGTTATGAAGTATGGCCACTTTGCCCATTGATTATGTTTACGAAATGTGGGCAATCAAATTAATGCTATTTAAGTTCATCGTGTTAACTGCAGTCGTTTTCTACTACTTTCATAGAATAACAGAGAAGGTTTGCAAGAGCTATAATGATCGTTCTCTCGTGGGATATCCATACTAAATGCTTAATGCTATAGTTGAAAATAACTTAAAGACAAACCATTTAGAGTGAATTAAAAGTATTTCACTAATGGCACCTTGTAAGAAATTTAGAAAAAAAATGGCACATGTTTTATATCCACTTGCAAGATTTATTAATATTACAGAGTTAGCCTGAGTGATTTAAATTTCGGGAATTCGTGAGAAGTTTTCAATTATCCGGCATGAATCACAAAAATAAACAGGTCAACTTTAACCTTAACTTACTTTCCATGAGTACCCGATAGCTGACCGGCTAGTTTCTTTGGTGGTTAATACATTGAAAGATAGAATGACAGTTTTTGCAATTCGCGGAATTTTTCCCAGACGTTTTACGCTATGTTAAATATTGACAAACGCTACATTAAATTGACGCTTTTTATCATTTTATTTACGGCTGATGAGAAATATGTACATGTATATAATGATAATTGATACACGTACATCACATGTCGCTATGAGGTAACTAACAGTAAAGCTGTTGGTATTAGTACAATAACACTTTTTGTAGTTGTGGCTACTCATAAATTTGTATTGTTTATGTCAGAAGTCGCAGATGATAAAAAATGGAGCTACTCATTTAAAATTCTGAAACTTAAAAATACTTAAATATACATCTGTCAAAACAAGATGGCTGCTTAAAGTTACACAAAAAACCAGTTATTATGCTAAACTTGATATTAATGAAATTTCAAATGAAAATACTTTATCTCTTGTCATTAATTTTTCAGATATATCTTGAATTGGCATGATTGCTTGCAAACAAGAGAGTCGTTTACAAAATTGGCATTACGCACTGTAAGTCACAGGCCAACAAAAATGTCAATAGAACTATAAAAACATACAGCTTTAAAACGTCATACGGCGTTGATCACCAAAAATAAAAAAAAAAATTACGTAAAAGCTCAAAAGACCTCTTCATTCAGCACATCCAGCTGTGTCTCACTGCTACTCTCGCTTCCACTTTCAAGTATTTCATCCACTATCAGGTTCTCCAGAGAACGTTGGTGCTTGTCTGACTTCCGGCGGATACTGCCTTTCATGGACAGTCTACTGGAGCTGACACTGGACCCGCCGGATTTACGGCTATTCACACTACTCTTCTTGGACAGTTTAGTCGAATCCAGTATGTTTGATAACTGGGAGAGAGTTTTCTTCAAGCTTCTTTTTCTTGTGAAGCGTGGCTCTTGGGCGTAATCCTCCTCCACTTCTTCGTATATCCCCTCAGTCTCTTCATGCTCCCTTGTTTCCAACATTTCCCTCTTTTCTAACGTGCTGTCGTGGACTGGGTCGCTTCTTCCTTCCTCTGATATCGGCTCCACGAGGTTTTCAAGTTCTAAGAAGTCGCAGTCTTGGCTCATCATGTCTTCCAATTCAAGCCGGATGCTGGTAAAACTGGGTCTCTTCTCGGGGAGTTTGTGCCAGCACTGCAGCATCAGAATATACCTGAAATGACATTACAGAATGTATTTAGAATGGAGTGTAGCAGAATGTAGTTGAGCAGTTCGTTGGTATGGAAACGAATCAATTGTGATTGAAAAAGTTAATACCAGAATTATACGCAGATAACGCAAGAAACCATATCAATTAATAAAACTGAGAACGACTTTTAGATTTTTGACGCAATAAAATGCATATGCAATAAGCTCCTACACCTTCAAAACGGTAAGTTTCATTTTAACGTCACTTCAAAATTTCACCAGCATCTCACGAATGAATTTAAGGGTAAGTATAATGGTTGTAAAGGGTTTCACAAATGTGCACTCAAGAAAAAAATGTTTTTGGTAAATTCTTTCCACATTGGGAAAATTCAAAACGCACCGTAAGACCGGTGAGATAATTTAAATTCTGAAATTATTATCGTAGTTTAAAGAAGGGTGTAGAATAAAAGTGGTACTTACAGTTCCATGGAGCAGTTCTTGGGGCTCTTGAGTCTTGTTCCCTGGTCCAGTTTGGTGGCTAGCTCTGTTACAGCAATATCTGGATAGGGGGTTGCACCTGCAGTGGAAAGAAGTGCGTACATTTATTAAACAATACAAATTTTCGATTCTTTTAGTTTGAATTTATATTTTTATTTATTCACTGAATGACTTAATTAAGCTCATTACTACCGATCACTATTTTTTTAATCATAAAACAAGGCACTGTGAGAAAATGGGATTATATTTTTACTTAAGCTGATTTTCGTAGGATATGCATTTAGAATTGCTGGTTAAAATAACATATTTTGCGATCAAACTGAATCACAATTAATATATAGGCCTATCAACTTACCAAATGTGACGATCTCCCAAAGGAGGATTCCAAATGACCACACGTCGCTCTGCACAGTATGCGTGCGGTCCTTCAAGCTTTCGGGGGACATCCACTTCCTTGCAGGGTCATTACTGTGCTCCAGGTCATTGTTGGCATCCCTCGACAGTCCAAAGTTGCTGAGCTTGACCACTTTATCTGCTCCCACCAGGACATTACGGGCTGCCAGGTCACGGTGAACAAATCCTTTGCTGGACAGATATTCCTGGAATAAATTGTAGAGATAAGTGTATATATGTAATACCCGAATTCAACATGGAAAAAAACATCGTGCCTATTCACGTGCTTTGAACGGTAAAGTAAATGTAGGCTACCTTAACAATGATTTCCAAAACTTTTTATGTCCTTAGTAGAGTATTACACGAAATTAAGAGGATTTTACAGGGGTATTTATAAGACTTCCAAATCAAAAAGAATATCATGTTCATTAAGCTACACTTATATGATACTTACCATAGCCAGAGCAATCTGATGTGCAAATGAGAGCAGCTGCTTGGCAGTGAGCGTGTCTTGTTCAATGCTGCCATCTTCATTCACCATTGGGTATTCAATGACTTTGTGTTTGGGGCCTTCCATTCTAAGCTGACCTTCAAAACGACAGCATCTAGAAATGAAGAAAATAAGATTAGTTGATATCAATTCAACGGATGTTTCATCTTCATAATGGCGATATAATGAACTGTTAACATTGCAATCATTATTTTTTTTAATTTACCAAATGTCACCTCTTTGAACATTTTTTTAATTTACCAAATGACACCACTTTGAACAATTTGAATTTCCAAATTTCCAATTTTTAATTTTACTTTAGTTAAAATTCATAATATTATCTTTTATTTTCTAAAAGCATCAAGAAAAACGGTTTTCAAGAGATATATATATATTACTGTATACCTTAGAAAATGTTGTAGGTTTCCATGAGGCAGATACTCCATTACCAAGGCCACTGGTTCTCTCACTGTACAGGTCCCGATCATAGAGACGATGTTGGGATGGTTACCTATCTTCTTCATCAGGCAGACCTTTGCAAGTAGGTCTGCTTTGTAGGAAGACGGGACATTACCTACAATAACAAAATATATATAATTAGTATTTAATGCATAATTGATAACGAGATGACGTTTTAATACTCCTTTTTGTTGATGATTGAATGTTATATCTTTTATAAACTAAAAACAATATTCTTTTTAAAACTAAAACAATTNTCATTATTATTATTTTTTTAATTTACCAAATGTCACCTCTTTGAACATTTTTTTAATTTACCAAATGTCACCACTTTGAACAATTTGAATTTCCAAATTTCCAATTTTTAATTTTACTTTAGTTAAAATTCATAATATTATCTTTTATTTTCTAAAAGCATCAAGAAAAACGGTTTTCAAGAGATATATATTATACCTTAGAAAATGTTGTAGGTTTCCATGAGGCATATACTCCATTACCAAGGCCACTGGTTCTCTCAGTGTACAGGTCCCGATCATAGAGACGATGTTGGGATGGTTACCTATCTTCTTCATCAGGCAGACCTTTGCAAGTAGGTCTGCTTTGTAGGAAGACGGGACATTACCTACAATAACAAAATATATATAATTAGTATTTAATGCATAATTGATAACGAGATGACGTTTTAATACTCCTTTTTGTTGATGATTGAATGTTATATCTTTTATAAACTAAAAACAATATTCTTTTTAACACTAAAAATATGAACAGTTTAAGTAGAAAGTACATTTAATCTGGAATAATATCAGTGTGAAATAACATATAAATATTTCGAGTAGATAACGGTTATACATAAAAACAAGTTAATTAAGCTTGAATACTTACTTTTCGCCATTTTGATGGCAACTTTCTTGCCGTCACATGACCCAACGAGCACCTTGCCAAATGTCCCTTGTCCCAACTGGTGACCAAAGGTCAGACACATGGGGTCAAGTTCCCATTTGTCCTGCACTGAAACCAGCTGGTCATCAGAATACAAGCCTGGGCCTGAAATAGGGGAAAACAGTTGTTTAAACGTGCGTGTTACTTGGATTATTTGGAATTCTAATAGGTTTTGGGTAATATTTACTAAAAAAAAGTACATACTGAAAATAAATATATGTAGTAAAAGTCAGAAGGCCAATATACTGATACCGCTGTTCATCATTTGTAGGAATTTTAAATAGTAAAATTATACTGAAACGAAATTTCATCATTAGCCTATAAGTAATTATAAACAATACAAATGTAGGTTACGTTACAATACAAATGTTACCTACCGTTGTTAATGTTTTTGCCCATAGCACTGGCTCTTCTCTCGATGACCCTTGTACGTTTCCAGTGACATCTAATGCAAATGATGACGTTGACGATGACCACTACAACACTGACCGCCACGCATATAACGACGATCACGTGACTGGGTTTGGTTTCCTCTGTACTGATGTGGTCAGCTAAAATTGAAAAAGTAATATTGGTACTTTGATGTGCACCCTGCACGAAGAAGATCCAGTATCATTTCAAATTATGTCCTTTTACATGTAATTCAACTTAGGCAGTTGGAGTTAACATCATGTCCATAATTCTGGAAAAAATTTGTGTTGGACATACAAAACTTCTACTTTAAAGATAAATCATATTTCTGTATCCACTGCTACACTTACCATTATAATCTTCCTCCTCCTCCTCCTCAGAATGGCGACACACGGTGAAGGTAGAATCGGTAATGTCACACTCGGGGGTGTAAAAGGAAATCCTTGGGGAAAACGATCCGGTTGATGTGCGTTCAATTTGCAACCAGTACTTCGAATTAAATGTCCATTCTGCTATCAGCCTGAACTCAGCGAGCTGGAGACAAAAAATATATATGTATTACTTTGAAATAAAATAAATGGTGCAGAAAATTTTATTGCCTAAAAATACGAATGTGAATTTTTGCTTTACAACAGACATGTCGCGCCATACAAGGATAACTTGATCAAAGCGTAATATCCAAACAGTGAGGGCCAACTTATAACTACAGAATTTCTTCTATCATAACTAAATCTGGTTTTTAAAAAGTAAAATAGTCCCTTTTCTGAAAACTGTAAAAACTTACCCCTTCCATAACATCAGTAACATGTGTGGCATAGTAGTCAGATGCAGACGTGGCAGTGCAACCATTGCAGCTCTCCAGGCCCCAGAAGATACTGTAGTCAGTGGGTTCTGCAGACATCTGCTGCCAGTGGACAAAAACATAGATGGTGCTGCCGTTTCGCCCTGCTGTCACGGAGATGTTAATTGGATCAACAAGTGCTGCAGGGACACTTGGAGTGACAGTTGGTGCTGTCGGGGTTCTTGGGTGACCAGCTGTTGGTGCTGCGGTGCTTGGATGACCAGTTTGTGCTATGGAACTTGACTGACCAGTTGGTGCTAAAGTGGTACTTGGGAGGTCGGTTTGCTTGGCTGTAGTACTTGGAGCGCTTGATGGTGCTGATGTGGTACTTGGAGGTCCGGTTGGTGCTGACGTGGTAGGTAAAGGGTCAGCAGAGGTAAAGGTGGTACTTGAAGGAGCATCCTGAACACTGGGTAGACTTGGAAGTGCTGCAAATATAATTTGATTGTTTTTAACAAATATATAAATAGAGACATCATTTCGTTACATTGATATTCAATTTAGCTTTACATCAATATTAAGATTAATTCAATTTAAATAAATAAAATGGTGTTTGGTAAAATGACGACTTACAACAGTTTCTGTATTTTACTAGATTGCATGCGTAAGAAACGCGCATGGGAATGTAGTTCAAATAAAGTCATGGACAATATGCATCTAACAGAGGTCAGAAATAATACTAGTGTGAATTTTCCTCGGGACTAGCACTCACCATGTAATTGCCTGATATCAAGAATCTCCGTTTCTGAAATAGCCACAATTCCATTTTCACTGATAACCAAGAGCTGGAACTGAAACTTGAAATATGGAAACCAATCCATCTCGTACTCTACCCACGTGTCTGCAGTCTGGAATAAAAAATAGTAAAATGTATTATTAACAGTATTATTTGAAGTATCCGTTATGTAGCGCAAAAATAATAACAAGGTCAGGAATCTCAAATTATGAAGTATATATTGAACGGTCAGTCACTTTTTGGAACTTTTTCGTCAGATTGTCTGTGACCGCTTTAAGTGATGTTAATTCTAAGCCTTCTCTGTAAAGCACAATAAATCATTAATAATTCTGTAGCTATGTTTTCTGTAAATTATTCTGTTTTCTATGTTTTCCATATTGAGATATAATCTCACTTACCTGAATATCTGTATACCAATCATCAAATTGGTGACCTGCATCTCGGCTATTTAGGATATAGATGAGATGGCCAGATGTTTGTCCCAAATTAGGTGGCATCCATTCCAAACGTAGAGTTCCTTTATTATAGGTGACTTGAACAGGTTTCATAAGCTCGTGGAGGGTAGTCACTGCGTCGGCTAAAATGCAAAGAAAGTACTTTCTTGAGTTAAAGGAGCGCCATGAAACTGTAGAATATTAAGTGTCGTTTCTCACTTAAAAATCAATAAAAAATGTGAATTATCAAGTAGAGAAAATTCAAAGCTATTTTGAATTAAAGAATTTTAATTTAAATTTTAAAAAAATTAAAATACTCCTGACCATTAAAAAGTCTTCCCCTTGGTAATATTGATCTAAATTATTAAAACCGGTTAATAAAATGTATAATTATTTCCAAAAAAAAGTATTTTAATATTAGGCGTATTTTACCCGCTGAGTGATTTTCCCAGAATGCACAGGAACTTTTACAACCCGGAAACTGGAAAGAAAAATATTAAGTAAGTCCATAGCCCTAATAAAACAATATAATTGCATAACAGTAAGTCTTGAGTTACTTTTTTACTAAAGCGTGTATGAGTCTGAAGATAACGATTTGTTATTCAGTGAAGAACGTCGTCGTCACTGCTAGCAGTAATAAATTAAAATAGGAACGATTTTAAAGCGTCGGGACAGTGGTATTTCAAATAACTACAAGCCGCATTAGTACTTACACATATATGGGGTGTATTGCACAAGGAATCCCAGGTGTGAGGTTCCCACTGTAGGTATTCACATGTCTCCCAGCACTGAAATGAGAACAGCACAGTGATTTTCTGATCTGACTACAGCCGCACCCTGATAATTAAGCTTCCCGTGGTCAGACTATACACACTGTTTACACGACAGACACACACTGGACGTCAGGGTAATTCTGACGACTGAAATCTACACAACGTATACTTCTATCGTTTCGCTCCTTTACTAGGTTGAGAGACTTAAAAAGGCAGAATTAGTCTATAGAGACCCTCAGATTCCTTTAATATGTTTTTTGAACGCAAAACTGTTAAAATTAAATCAGTGTCGAAGATTTTTGTGTTGATAGCCTACTTACCATTTTACAATTCCCATCTTTCATACATTCTTCGTCGTTCACTTCCAATGAGAGAAACTAGAATGAAATCATAAAAGAAATACACGCTTAATTTTGGTTAGAGTAGTCGCTTTTCTCTTCCAACAAAGCAGTGACAACCATCTTAAAGTAAGCAACCACCTTCTATAATTTTTACTACTTGGAAAAAAATTAAGTAATTTAAACACAGAATGGAGTGTTAAACGCCCATATGACCAGATTTTGTCGTAGCAAAGCAGGAGCGGATTTAGGCCGTCTTCCGGGTCTTCCGGAAGACGGTCAGATTTTCAAGTTTACATTGAAGGGTATCTAATTTTTTCTGTCGGAAGACGGTCAAAAATGGAAAATGGATAACCAAATATAATATGGAAGACTGTCAGGAAATATTTCTGCAAAGGATACTTTAAAGTATTTTGTAACTATCTCATTCACTCACCATTAAAGCTTAATATGCTTACTTAAATCTTGTCCTACTTATCGACTAACGTATCTGTATATTCATCTTTATTTTAATATTAAAATATTAAAAAACTACCTCCAATGTAACATAAGAAAAATGTCATTTCTCTTCTTACCTGTAAACAACGAGTTCGACATCTTCCCAACTCCACGCCCGGCTCCATTTGACTGCTGTCAACAGCGCCCCACGTCCAGACAACAATGAGCAAGAGGACGACATCCATAATCTTGTCTACACCCATCGGCTTGCGTTAAAGAGTCTGTTTAAAAACCCAAATGAATGAAAAAATCTTGTCGGTAAACGTGTAAAAATGTCCAAATTGTGCTGCGCGGTATTTTAAGTGCCTACTTTGCGTGAAGTTCAAATGTTCGAATACAGAAATAGGTAGTCTCCAACAAAATACGTCAACTCGTAGCTTATACAATGTTCCGTCTTCTTCTACTTCCAGTTGAAATGACAATGACATTCGTCAGTAGTCTTCCTCTTATATACTGGGTAGGGGGCAGGTAGTCAATGTTAATAGATACGCAAACAACCAATGAGGCTCTTGGTCAGTTAAACTAATTAGCTCTCTCTGGTTGTAATCCGATTTATTACCTGTACAGTGGTCCCAGGTAACTCATTTAAGTTAATTACGTGAATCCCTTCAGCCTTTGATCATACAAATCTACAGAGGTGAGACAACAGGTATGTGCCCCCAGGTAACTAACCTAACTTAATTAAGCAGGGTCAGCTGATCACAGGTAATGAACTACGGGTAATTACCTTTAGATAACTGACCACTGTTATAAGATCACAGGTAGCTGATCTCAGTAGATCACAGGTAGCTCATAAAAGGTGACTACGTACAAGTAGAAGTGGATTGTTTGCATACATGGAAGCCAGTCCTTAATCGACAGTTCACATTTACTAGGGACAGCGGCTTGTGAACTCGCGAAATACAGAGTTATCAATAGATAGTTTGATTTCGCACAGAATTAGATATTTACTTTAAAGAAACTCTTAAATAGTAAACTGTGGATTTGTGAAATACGGAGACATTAATAGATAGTGCATCGAAGCTTTGCTGTCAAAATTAGTGTTATCTCTCTACAATAACTGCATCGTTTTATCTTAAATATCAGCTTCATAGCGAATTATGATACTGTGTATTAAACAAAGCGTATTTTAATCATTTTCACTTGTTAAACATGGCTTACAAGAGAAATTCAGTGGCGATCGAAAATAATCTAAGCATCTCGGACGTTGGGTGCATGTTTTAATTAATTTGCAGTGGAATTACAAGAGTGAAAAAAGAAGCCATATTACATGTATATAAAGCTCACATTTCATTTTACAAGTGTAAGAGTGCTTTTGGGGAGCACCTCTGTGCTACAGTTTTCCACACGAAGGTAAGTTAATGCAAACAGGTTAGAAAATGTTGTTATTAAAGTATAATAGATGGTATTTGCAAAAGCTTCGACATCATTAATATCATCCGAAAATGACAACCGGAAACTATAGTGCCCTTTTTTTCAAAAACGAACCTGGAAACTGAAAACTAATGTTGTGTATCAAAAACGAATCTGGTAACTAGAACCTTGTGTCGTCTTTAAAAAACAATTCCGATGCTCAGAAACTAGAATAATTTTTTGAGGAAAACGGGAGTTGACGTAGGGCGAAACGGTCGCCACCAGGTAGCTTTCCCCGTGGAAGCCGGGCTCACAGGTATCTCATTGGGCCTTAACTCCATTTTTAAGCATACACGATTCTACGCTGCGTGACTTTTGCACGGTGCAACTTGTAAGATCTGAAATCTTATGAATTAATTGGTAAATTAGACATTCTTAAAATCTGTCAGACTAATATTATGATAGACCCCACTCTCAGTGCATACCCTTGAGTAAGACAAACCAAAGACAAATGTAATAAATATACTTTTATTGATTAATAAATAGTGTCTGCTATTTACAACAACAACAACAAGTGATGCTGTTCCTATCCTGGATGCTGTACATGAAGTGTGCCACGTGAACACATGCACTCCAAGTTTTGGAACTTTAAATTCTACAGATCTGCAATAAAGGTGATGTAAACATTTTGGAAAACAAAGTTACGTCAGAGAAACTCAAAATACCCCTTAAATATCCCAACTTGGCAAGCTTTTCAGCACACACTGTGACATTTTCTATTTAACAGGTATAATACTGACATATAAGTTTACAGAACATAGTAAGTTGGCTTAATATTGTTCAAATCCTGTAACTTAATAACAAGACTTGATAGATCTTCACATCAGGGCATAGGTGGCATTCAGGTTCTTCAAACAGAAAATGGAGAAATTTATTCAAAATATACTGTTGACATACAAAAGAATGGTTGAAAATTAGTTCTAATGCAATCATGTTGTCAAACATACGGGTTCGACAAGAATTGCATACTTATAATGCTCAATAAGCCAGTAATCTTACTTTATCTTGAACATTGTTTAAAATGTTTGCATCTCCAAAGAGGCAGGGACAAAGCACCAGTCTGATAATACATATTAAATGGAAAATATATACCCCAGAATGCTTTCTGATCATGAAACCATGCATTTAGTATGATCTCATATTACTAGTATTACTAATAGGTGTAGTAGCCATAGATTAAGTTATAATTTTTGCATTCAGCATATGATCACCAGAGCAGTGGAATATATACTCAACAATAATAAATTAGGCTTCGACTTATCTAGTGGTTGTGAAACTTGGAGGTAAACATGGCTTACAACTTTTAGTTACTAATGACAACATGGACTTCATTACATGAGCATTGTATTCTCTTTTAGTAGAATAATAACACACAAACTTAACTGTAGTCTTTTTTACTTCCTATGAACTTAAAGCGAGGATGAGGCAATTTCAGAAATGCATTTCCCTGAACTCAAAAACACAACATCTTTGTGGAACCCATATAAATTCAAGAGTTGATAAACTTACATAATTACAATTTTTGCCCTAACTTGTAATCTAGCCAAAATAGCTTTCACAAAAACTCAGGGGTACATAACTTCCCAGTTTAAATCATTTCCACTGACCAAGTCATCAAATTGTACATATTTTTCTTTTCTGAAAGAAACATCCAAGTTTAATTTGAATCATTTTCCATAAATGTAATTTCTTTTACTCTGTTCAACCTCAGTATTTCATTATAATACATTAAATGCTAAACACAAATAACTGTAGTTATTTATCTACATACAACACTAAGGTAGTACATAAGAGTAAGATACTGGGGTAAATGCATATACAACTTTGCTCCTTATTACGTGATGCAGTATGATATAAATTTAAGAGTAATAATAATAATAATAATAATAATACTAATAATAAACATGCATAAAGGTTTAACAGCTAAAACAAAAACATGACCTGACAATAATAAAAACATGTCGCAGACAGACAAACAGATCACATAAATATTTATAGAATATGTACAAACCGAACCAGCAGTTTGAAGACTGACCTCTTGTTCTACAAGGGATCCCTATAACATGTTATACACTATTTGCACTTTGTTATACATATGACCATCCATGAGTTAGCATCTGAACTAAAAGGAGAGAAAAAAAACTAGTTCTGTACAGGCTCCCAATCCAACACGTGATACTTCATCTTAACAAACAGCAAATCCCAGCTGTTTCAGTAAATACTGTAAACTGTTCTATCTATACACATTCATAATTTTACTTCTCAGTTAAAAATATGGATTCCATTTTTTTTTTCTTTGTACTGTTAATACCAAAGTGGACATTAGGAGTTGGTATTTTGAAAACTAGAAAATTTGGGGACCAAAGGCTTGCAACATTATAACCTGCAAGGATTACCTGTATCAGTTTGTTTAAGATTTTTTACCTTAAAAAATTTAGAAAAAAAAGTGATTCAAAACAATCTATGGTGACACTTGAACTCCAGTTGTGGGACATAGGAGAGAGAAAAAGAAACTCTCCACAAGCCATGTAGTTATACACAGAATGAAACTAAGGAATAAAATAAAATGTTGTAGTCCAATTTACAAAAGGCAAAACTAAGTGATTGGTGAAAACACTCAAATTTGAAGAGTATCTGCACATAAAATCATTCCTGTTTTGAGTACTAGTCAATTTTTTTATATAAAATGCCAAGGTCTGATAACATTAATACACTGTGCCTGGTTATTCCATAAATCAGCAATGCCCAGAGTTAAAATAAGATTCATAAAAAAAATGCCCAATCATTTTAGCCTTCTACCTGATACCACATGGGAAATGTTATCAAAAAGGACCTTTATATACTGTAAAGGTGTATAATAGTTTTGAGATTTCATGTTCGTATAAATGAAAAGAAACAAACTCCAAAATCATGTCACATTTTTCTGACCAGAACTCACTCCATCATTGTAGCCCACGACTAAGCCTGTCTGGTAATGTTAGCAAGATTTAGATTATTCAAGCCTTAAAAGACAGCCTTCTCTGTTAGAATTACCAGATGCAAGTAAAATAGCCTTTCACTTTAGACTACCGAAGTAATTGTAGAAATACATCTTTGATACAAAAATCTGCTTTTTGCCCCACATTTCAACCTCTGTCTTCGTTATCAAAATCAGTCAAATAATCCTGCAGTCCCTTTCATAATACCAATTAAACATAAAGAACAGGCCATGGATATTATCTCCATCCATCTTTAGAGTTTTACTACTGTATTGTTATATATAACAACCCACATTTTTCAACTGCCAAGTAAGAGACACAAAATATACTGATAAAGCTTCCGACTTACATCTTCAACAGTACTTCTATCAGGTTGTCTCTTTGTAGAAACACCTCACAATAAATTGTATGCATCTCCACACTTTAACTTGTTTGCCCCTTCAACATAATGCATTCCTCCTCCACAAAATAAACACTACAATTCCTACACTGTAGTCTGCCTGTTTAACGACTGTAGCACTCACCTTAAATTAAATAAGCACTGGAACCCAAGGCCAGATGGGCACCAAAAATTCTGTAATCAAATACTGGCTGATTACAATCACTCCAGAAAAATAAGAAGAAACATATCTAATATTTTAAACATTAACATTCATACTTGAGTCTGCTTTACCGGTGCAAACCCAAACAAGAGTGGACTAGAGGAACTTCTTGCTGAAGATGACATTGAGCTTTCCGTATTTTCACTGGTGTCCGTATTTTCCGTAATATCGGAGGCCTCGGAATCCGTGGCAGTGTGATCATGCTGCATGGGCACCGGTTTGAACGTGAAATTCGAGGAGGTTGACGTGAAGCTCGAATGTTGGCTGTGACTTAGCTGATGGGGCTGTGAGGGGTGATTAAGATGGTGGGGCCCCGCAGGGTGATTTAGATGGTGATGGCCAGTGGAATCATTGGAGAGTTGATGGTGACTCGAGTTCGGCATCTGCTGCTGACTGCCGCAGTGGGAGC